TCCTTTCCCAGTTCACACTTACTCATAGTTATGCTTATCCATCAGCAGTTACATAAGATGCAATTCCAAACATTTATAATCCACCTCTTGCAAACTATAAACCACATCAAATTAGTCCCTGACGTGCTTTGTACTAGCAAAGCAATTTGCAGATCCATCATGAAGTATCAGTACTATTATTTGTCAGCAGTCGCTACAGCCATTTTTTCTGACAGCATTACCTGCAAGGGCTTGGTAAAATGAAATTATAGTGGCTGTCATGTAACAGAGAGACCCTCAGGGACAAATTCGGTGCCATTTATTTATCCATTTCTGGGAGCTGGAGTACGTATCCATCTGATTTGACATCGTGAGAAGTCCCATTGCAGCGTCAGCAATGGTTGAGACCATTGATTGCCATTGGTGGTGTCCATGGCACCCTACTCATTATGGCAGTTTCGGGAACCCTAAACCCTGCTGTTGCCTTGACTGACCTGTTTCACTTGTTTAGCTGTGTATATTTCTATTTACAGACTATCCTTCAGGATAAGCCCTCTCTACATGCCAGCCATCAACCCTTGAGAACAGAGGATGTTTCTTTCCCCAGTACATTTGTTTTTCCTTTTTTTAAACCTCCTCCATGGGACAGGTTTCAGTGGAATTCTGTCCCCATCTAGTCACCTAGTGCTATGTCTAATTGCTACAAAGAAAATTCAGTGTGTAACTTAACTTGAAGGGTAACAGCAACAAATCATTTACTTTCTCATCAACATTTCCTAAGTATTATGTATAATTTTCTTTGTACTGCCATTTCCACATCCTTAAAATAGTAATTTTCACTTCACCACATTTCTTTAAAATTTGAGTCACGTGGGAGATGCTCAGGCCCTCAAATTTTACAACTTATATTGGATTCCAGTTTAAGTACAAACTTAAGGTAATGTCTTTTTCCAAACCAAAAGGCAACTGGGGCACTAGCTAGGAAGGAAATACAGATGATTACTTAGCTCAGATCTGATCTTACAAAGTCAGCAAAAATAAGCCAAGTAAGATCAGGACCTTAACCATTGGGAAAAAAAAGCACGTATAATATGTATGTGTCTATGTTACATAAAATGTGCTGCACCTGTATTGGTTTAGTAGGCTGTATTATGCTCCCTTCATGCCTGTATTTAAGGAGAAAGAATAACAAGGAATTTTATTTTAGCATACAGAGATAATGAGAACATGAAAAAGATATAAAGCCTGAAAGAAAGCGGCTGCCTGTGGGCTGTTATCAACCTGGATGAAAATATGTTGCTTGGTCATTTTAACATTAAGCTATGAAAAAATTGCCCCTGCACAGCGAGGCGTATCATTTATACTGTTTTTTCCTGCAAATACTATTATTTACTCTTTATCCCAAAACTCACTAAAAGCCCCATATGCTACGTCATATTCAAAACCCCAAACATTTGGGTTTTGCATATAAGACCATGCTATTATTTGTTCTCTTGATTTAAATATTAAAGAAATGAGGTTTTTTTATTTTATTTTAGATTCTTATACTAAAGCAAAATTGATTCAAGACTTACAGTTTAAAATTCTCTAGCAGCACATAATGCCATGAATTAATGTGGTGTTTCTCTGGCCTAGAACCATTGCATATTTCTGGGTACTCCACATACCAATGAGTATTAACCTAATTATCATTAAGGTTGCTTACTTAAATTTCTGTTAATTACATTTTATAAAAATTAAAATATAAAAAGCTCATATAATATTACAAATTCTTATTATAATCTTTCATTTAGAGCCCTTTAAAAACTGCAAGAAATTATCATGCCTAGCAACCTTCTGTTAGGAATGCCATCTTGTGGTTAAAACCTGTATATAACAAAGACTCAAGGTAATTTAAAATAAATTTTTACTTGCAAAATATGGTTTTTGCAGAAATGAGGTATTGTTGTATGACCTTTCAGAACTGTATAGTATTCTTTTATTAACCACTCTGGATGACAACAGCTGTGAATACAGCTTTCCCATCCTCATCTGTATACAATGCTAATTAATTATGCAGGGAGCACTAGTTTCATTAGGAGATGAGATGCATTTATTAGCATTTTAAACAACACCAGATTGCCACATATACTTAGTAAAAAAGCCCACTAAATGCCTAGTCTATTTAGATATAATTTAGTGAATTAGTCTAAAATGTATAGAAAATAGACACATTTTTCTCAAAATATGTTTCTAGAGCAGAACCCTATGAGTGCACTTTGCCTTCTGTAAACTTTATGGAGCATCTTTGGTTGGTATATAATAGGTCAAGTTTGACTATAAAAGGAAACATTGGATTTTTCAATTTGTCTTATATAGATGTTATTGTGAGCTAAGAATGAATTAAAAATGGCCGTTGGATCACAGCTTGCTCATGAAAGCAGAGAGAAATGACAGGTAAACAAGAACAGAAAGAAGGGTTCCAAAAGCATCTAAAAAACTTTAAAAGATCTATAGCTTTTAAAAGCTTAGAAAAATGAATAATAATTAGCTAAATTCAATACAGCTTACATTTGCATAGGCACTTTCTTACTATGTGTGTTCACCTCATTTTCATAATGAAAGTATATATTGCCCAAACCATCACAACACATATTGTATAATGAAATTGAAAACTAATGAGCCATATCCTAATAGCCATGAGTCAAGTCAGGGCGTGCATTAGTAGCCCATTTGCAATTCTCTAGAGACAGAAAGAACAAGGCTAAACATATCCAGTAGCCTATTTGGTGCACAACTTGTTCTGTGGTACTGATAACACAATAGCAGAACTGAAATGAGTTCACAATCTCTAGCGCTCAAACCTCTGTGAAATACTGCTGGTCCTCTGGTTAGCCTGCAGGTGACTCCTGGGGCAGCCAAAAAGGACTGCCACGATTAGTTAGTGTGACCTCTTGCATAGCACGGATCTGACTTGGCCTGAATTAGTCCTCTTTCTATCAAATCAGATCTTTTCAGGAAATCATCTGTCACCTCCAGACTAGGGAAACCTTTCCCAATCTGTTACACACCTTTATCTCTTCTTGTCACATGTCCCAACTTCTACTTCAAATTGCTGGATCATTCTTTCTCTGCTGGATGGAACAGACCTTTATTTTATTATCAAATTTTTGCTCCAAAGCTGGTTCTGCTAAGCTAACTCTCCTTTTGGTAAACTAAGTAGATTCCGTTTCTTGGGACTCCCATGCCATTGCTTGTCTTTAAACCCTTTATTGCTCAGGACTCCTTTCTGTTTCCAGCATTACTGGAAATTGTCACTGTTGGAGGCGGGCATAACATTCTTCTAAAAGAGCATTTTACACCAACGTCAATTATAGACAGCAATATTACTTCCTTGAAGTATTTCCATTCCTAAACCTGAGGATCTCACCGGTCCTTTCGGCCACAAGGGATGCTGAAAATCCATGTTCAGTTGAGGACACACAACATCTCCAAACATCGTTCAAAGTCAGCATTTCCTACAGCAAATCGTTCCGTTTGGTAAGTATGTCCTCAAAACTCTGGTCCTAGAGACACAGGTCTCCTTTAGCCACAGTGAGACGCAGAGTATTTAAGTTTTGTGGCTTCCATAGGTTTGAGCAGTCATTATTATGTTTCCTTCTGTGTGCTCAACAAACTCATGGTTAAGAGCCAAATCCTGCGCCAACTCACCTAACAAATCTGTTCAGTCACAGCTGTCCTTTCAGATTTACATCTTGAACAGGTACCAGGGAATGAAGTCTTCTCGAGTAAAAGGCACAGACAGCTGAGATCTTCCTCCAAGTTGGGAGACCTTCAAGAGTTTTACCTAATTCAGAGAGCGAGACTGAGATTGATGTCTTTTAGATTACTGCATTCTGAAAAACTGGTGAAGCACCAGCTTTCCAGTTCTGATAAGCATGCTGAGCACATTTATGACTACTGTGAAAAAACACAGTAATATTTTAAGCTGCTAATATATGTTCAGAATTAACTGCTTGTTCACATTAATTCCCTGAAATTAACTACTCATTTCATTGCTGTTTCAACCTTTCAAGTAATTTTATACACCCGTGATCCTGAAATCATATTCCAAGTGAACCAAAGTTGCTCTGCAACTGTTAACAGACAACCAGCTCATCCCTCCACTGAATTTAGCATGAATAAGATTAAACTATCAGAGATTTCTTTTTCTGTATTAATTCCTCAGAATACGAACCTTCCGTGTAGTACCAGACAAGAACAAATCTGTTCAGTCACAGCTGTCCTTTCAGATTTACATCTTGAACAGGTACCAGGGAACGAAGTCTTCTCGAGTAAAAGGCACAGACAGCTGAGATCTTCCTCCACGTTGGGAGACCTTCAAGAGTTTTACCTAATTCAGAGAGCGAGACTGAGATTGATGTCTTTTAGATTACCGCATTCTGAAAAACTGGTGAAGCACCAGCTTTCCAGTTCTGATAAGCATGCTGAGCACATTTATGACTACTGTGAAAAAACACAGTAATATTTTAAGCTGCTAATATATGTTCAGAATTAACTGCTTGTTCACATTAATTCCCTGAAATTAACTACTCATTTCATTGCTGTTTCAACCATTCAAGTAATTTTATACGCCCGTGATCCTGAAATCATATTCCAAGTGAACCAAAGTTGCTCTGCAACTGTTAACAGACAACCAGCTCATCCCTCCACTGAATTTAGCATGAATAAGATTAAACTGTCAGAGATTTCTTTTTCTGTATTAATTCCTCAGAATACGAACCTTCCGTGTAGTACCAGACAAGTCTGTGGTGCAACATAAACAGTGTTTAGACATTTCCTATTTTTGATGTGGGTTTATTTTTTAATATATACTTTCCTTCCAGGATGATGCAAATTAACCCACTAACATCTGTCAAACTCAGCAAAGTAAATTACTATATCATTTAATATACATCTAACTTTCAAGTAAACATAAGACAGAACACACCTTTCAAAATTTAAGAACATCAAATTTTGAAATCAATTCTTTTAATGCATTTTCTTTATATCACTTTGATAAGAATTTAAGAACATATTCGCAAAGAAAGTGCTACAGAATGGATCCAGCATTATTTATTTAGAAAAAATATAGTGGATACAAATTGCTAATGCATATTTCAGGCATGCCAAACATGGTATACTTAATAACAATGTGTGTTCTTGATGTCCTTGAAGAGCAAAGTTGACCTCTTGAAAAACAAGAATCTTCCTTTTAGAGCTTTATCTGCTAAAATATTCCATCACCTCAAAAACACAAATAGCAACTCTTTCTAAATCCTAAGATACTAAGAAAACAGAATTATCTTCTGAAGTCATCCCTACCTGCACTATTCACCCTTTACCTCAAATGACTCTCTGTCATCCTGAGAAGCAGGACTGTGACTAAAGGCAAGTAAGGAGCAGCTGGTAAATCTGCAAGCAAAACAAAGTATTTTCCATATAAATATTCTTATAATAAGAAGTGTAAATATAGACAGTACATTTGTCCTTACATTTGTAACATTTGTCCTTAAGATTTTTCGTGTTGTATCAGTGTTCAGCAAAGATTTACCCATACAGAAGAATAGCTTAACTAAAGCTATGCTATTACTCCAGGTCAACAAAGCCAGTGGAAATGTGTATATATGCACACTCACACTCTCTGTAAACCCAGCTTATATTTATTTAGACTGCAACATCCTATCTTTAGATAAATAGGAGCAAATTGTGTATACACCAAGCTTAAATGACTTAAAGAATCCTGCTAACCATCACAATGTAGATTTGCTTTTGTGCATCATTAGCACACTGGTTTTGCTTTGAGAAGTTGATAGAAAATACGGCGTGACAACATTCAGAGTGCACGTCTGCAAAAGAAAAGCAGCACTTGTGTCCACTCTTGATCATTAATGCCCTTTGAATCTTTCATAATACTGATAGCGGAGGAAAAAAAGTGCAATAACAGTAGCACAATGTTTGCTGAACCACAGTATTTTGCTGTCTGACATTTAGAAGAGCTGGGCTGGGAAGGCAGGAGGACTCTTTCCCTCCCGTAGCCAGCTACAGCAATTACACTGGAAATTTTTTGTCCTCTACTCCTCCAGGCCCAGCAGGACAAGGCAAGCCAGAAGATCACACGTTACAGCTACCACAACACAGCATCTGCACTTGGTCACAAACACTGTGTACATCCAGGATCACACCACTACTGCAGGCATTTTATAGTGCCCATTACTAGAATCCATAAGCAGATGTGGTGCACAAAAAGAGTTCACTGAAGTTATTATGAGAAAGTCCAAAAACGAATTATTTTTAAAAACAAGTAAATACTGTATTGTATACAAGCTTTAGACATTCCGAGAAATGTACTAACACCATACATGCTCTTTAACCACTACCTTTATACACCTTAAGTCCACACTGAAAGCCCATAGGTCTGGTAAATTTTTTACTTACTCAATTCATACCAACTGAAAATAACAACTAGAAATTTTACTAATAGTTCCTCCTTCAAACCAAGCTTGAATTACTGCCATGAACTTTGAAATATAGATTGAGTCATGTCAAAATAAATTCTCTGTTAGTTTAGTTCTGACTGTTTATCTAATAATTGGCTAACTCAAGATAGGACGCTGGCTTCTAGCCTAATCTTGTTTAGAATCTCATCTTTTGGTTTAGGTACTTTCTGTGAAAACGAGCTCCTCTTTGTAGACATTTCTATAAAGTAACAGCGTGTGACAAATTGCCCTAATGTCAAATGGCATTAAGCCCCACAGAACCAGGTACTGCAGGATTTCCACAGAGTCCTCATGAAACTGATTCCCATTCCAGTAATTCAATCCAGGCAGTTTGGTTTCTATGGAGTTGGTTGATCAGTTGGGGTTTTGCTTGTTTGTTTGTTTTTTTAAGATTTAGAATTCCGGGTTTTTACTGAGCATATCCAGAGAAAGCATTATATTTTTTTCCACCTGGAACTACTGCAAGAATCAGACTGAAACATACAGAAATACAAGGTGGATGTGCACTTACCACCTACACAAGTAATGCTTCTCTTTCAGCAATATGCTTATGCCACTTTTTCTTAAAGAACTTGGATTATTTTTTTAAATTACATATTTATAGTCTTTCTCATGTTGTGTGTGGAAAATGACAAAAATTTCTCTGCCTTATGAGGAGAGACTGAATGAGTTAGGCCTTTTCACCCTAGAGGAGACTCAGAAGGTACCTCATCACAGTTCTCTAGTACTTAGGGGGTAGCTAGAAAGAGGATGGAGGCTCTCTCTTTACAAGGAGCACAGGGAGATGACAAGGGTAAATGGGTACAAATTGGACAACAAGTTTCATCTGGACATAATAAAGAAATTTTTCACAGTGAAAACACTCAAGTGACTGGAATAACCTTTCCAGGGATGTGGTAGAGTCCCCATCACTGGAGGTTTTTAAAGCGTGACGGGGCAGGGTGCTAGATAATCTCATCTACGCTCCCTTTCACATGAAAAGCTGGACCAGATGATGTTGTGATGTCCCTTCCAACCTGGGCTGTTCTATGACGTTGTGAAAATAAAAATAAAAAGTTATTTTCCAAAGTTACTGCAGAAATAGTGAATGAGGATTGAGCAGAGAAAAGAACTAGAAAGGTCCTAAAAAGGCATCAAAGAATGGCAGAATCTAGAGAGCTATTGTGTTGCACCTTTGTAATCAGCTATGTTTAATTCTATTGTATAATGTATTCACTATGGCAAATGCACCTCATGCTTGGGCCCTTTACCTTACAGTGAAAGAAAAGACAATTTTTTAAAATAGTTTGCTACATGGTGTCTTCTTCACCTTTACTGTGGCAAAATGTACAAGCAGGTACCCAGAGGAAGCTGGGGGATACGGCAACAGTTCAGAGCTCTGAATGAGTCCTTCTGGGAGATGCTGCCTTTCGAAGGGAAAAAGTGTTAACAATTACAGCCTCTCTTGCCAACACCTTCCCTATTTGAATCTTGTTGGGAACTACAACGTCCCATAGCTATAGGTCCTCATATCTCTTAGAGAGACTCTTAGCTCTTTACAGGTAACTACATGCTATTTCTCTTAGTGTGAAATGGTTATATTTTACTCCCTTGCCAAATATAACCTACAATTAGCAGAATAAGTTTGTCCATAACCACATGATCTCCTAGGGCAACCTGCTCTATTTTCTTCTGATGCAAAAAACCAATAAAGAGCCTGTCATTAGCAAATCCAGATTGCTAAAACAGATCTATTTTAGGTTAAATAATGAATACCTCTGATGCTATCACACTTTCCAGACACTAGAATTCATTTTTCACTTTCCTTGATGAGATGCCAAGCACTTTGGGAAGCTTCTTTCTTATACTAATTCATGCAAAGTAGGAACAGAATAGAATGTCAAGGAAATGAATTTCAGAAAACCAGGAAAACAGAAGTAACTAGAACGAGAAAGCTATATGACCTCTAAGATAAACCTTATATTCTAAAAACTTTGAATGCAAGAAGTTAATGTAAATAAATGGTGGTCTGGATTGTGTTTGAGGAGACTGCTGCTACTACTACCATATTCTCCTATAGCACTAAAAAAGGATTCTAAAGTTAAAGTTTGAATAGAAAAGATCTAGGAAAGAGACTACAACACACTGGAGGAAGAGTTACATTTCAAAAATTATTAAAAATATCGAATTAAGGATTCTATTTTATACAGAGAAATATCTAGGAGAAAAAAAAGTCTGAAAAATAACCAGATTTTTTTTACAAAAATGCTGGCCTCACAATACATAAAAAACATCATACAAGAAGATAACATACCACCAAATTGAATGGTTCAAGGCTAAACAATACAAGTATACTTGAATCTTTGTAGTGAAATTAACCCTCATTAGTAACATCCTAACACCATTACAGTATCTCATTATGTTTCTGTGACCTAAGTGCAGAGAGTTAAAGTTTAACTAATCACCCACTGACCAAATGATCACATCATTCTTGCAACAAAACGAGTGCTAATGGTTTCAGAAAGGTCAGAATTCATTATCTTCCTCCTTCCACAAAGAATGCTTCAGGCTTATGAAGGACACAGCACTGCCAAGGAAAGATGGCACTACTGCCATCTCTACTATGCATGACCTGCAAAAAAGTATTCCAGTCTTTTATACTCTCAATTCACAACCTTTCACCACTACTAGAAATCTCACAGGCGTTACTTGTTTGCTGTTGAAAACTTGCTAATTGAGTATAAAACTGCAGATGTTATGCTGTGAACTGGAGACAGGCTGGATGAATCATGACTTTCCTAAGATATGCAGCCTGTTAAGAAGGCATCACAACTGACACAGTGGACCTCTGATCAGTTGCTCAGAAAACTTTCATAAAATGACTTTGAATTAAGGTTTCTATACGGGACATCAGCATACTCATATCAGCAGCACAGACCTGGTGATCATCATTCCCTTTCTTCTTCAGAGTCTCTAATAGGCCCCAGTGGACTGGAGGCAGAGGGCTGTAAGAACTCAGCAAGTGAAGCTGACTTAATGGATTCTGTTTTATTTCTGCAATCCTCAAGGCCCTCAAGATAGCAGGTGCAAACTTAGAATAATGAGCTGTAGATGAAATAATAATTGGGCAAGTTCTATCTTGTAATCGATCTGCAACTACTTTAGCAACAGCTGTGTGTGTATCCAAAATATATCCTGTAGTGCTGTACACAGAGTGAATGGCAGCGAGACAGTCCTCCTCAGAGCACCATCCAGCCACCAAGTCCTGCTGAAGCTTTTCAAGTAGATCTTTCCGCAGCTGGAAGTGGCCCTGATTTTCCAGCTGGTTATACAACTGTGTCACCAGTTGTCCATCCTCATTAGCAATCAGGTGCAAGTACCGCTCAAGATTGGAGGACTTCAAAATATCTACTGCTGGTGAAAAAGTGGGAATTAATTTTCTTCCCCTCAAATCATAAGCACCCGTTCTTATGAAGTCAGTCAAAACGTTGTTTTCATTGGAAGCACAAATACACTTTCTAATAGGAATTCCCATCCTTTTAGCATACAAAGCAGCTAATATGTTGCCAAAGTTTCCTGTCGGAATGCAAACATCTACAGGGCTTCCAAAAGGAATAATACCTTGATGAACAAGATCAAGGTATGCAGAGGCATGATAGACTATCTGAGGAAGCAATCGTGACCAGTTTATGGAGTTTGCCGCAGCTAAAGCTGTTCCATATTCTACTGTAAGAAAGCCAGTGTAATCAGAATTAGTAAAGATTTGCTTTATAGCTGTCTGGCAAAAATCAAAATCAGATTTGACACCCACTGACCAGGCATTTTCTTTCTGACAGCCAATCATCTGTGATTTTTGAATCGGGCTTACTCCATCCTCAGGAAAAAAATTCATCACAGCAATTCTCTGTTTGTCAGTGTCATGGAGACGACTAAAGCCATCTAGGACAGCACTCCCTGTGTCACCAGAAGTAGCTACCAGAACCAAATAATTGCAGCTTCTGGGAATGCAGTATGCAAATATATGTGGCACTAACTGTAAAGCAAAATCTTTAAATGATGCTGTTGGTCCATGAAATAACTCAAGGAGAAACTGATTGCCTGCCAGATGCCTAACAGGGGCAATTTTAGAACAAGTGAAGTTTTCTCCATAAGCAGTTCCAATAATTTCTGCCAGCTTAGAAGCAGGAATATCAGCAGGATGAATGCATCTTTCTAGTATCACCTGGGCTCTTTCAATGTAAGTTGTGTCTATTAGGCTTTGCCATTCTCCAGCAGTGAACTTCGGAAGTCCTCTCTCAGGAACAAAAAGTCCTCCGTCGGGTGCTAAACCCTCAATAACAACATCGCTGAAATATTTATGAGAGTCTTTCTCTATACTCCTTCCAGACCTACTAGACCTAGTTGAAATGAAAGTTTCCAGTTCTGAGTTTTGGTATCTCTTCACTGCATCAAGTACCTTTTCAGCTACAGCCTCTGGTGCAACATCGCCTCCATAAAGCACACGGATGTCATACCACCTTTTGTAGAACTGCTTCCTGAACTGAAGTATGTCCTTGAGAGAAATACCAGGAGACTGGCCCACGATGCGATCCACCTTCATTGACTTCAGCCTGCTCATAATGACTGCCGTGGGCACATCCAGATACACAACTATTCCATTTTTCTTCATATGCTGCATGCCAGCAGCATGCATTGGATTGGACCCAGTAAGGGAAATGACACTTCCAGATGCTGTAAACTCCAACAGGGCTTTTCCTTCCTCCTCTAAAAACTGCTCATTACCAACATCCTGCAGTTTTTCCGACACAGTCATGTTCCAGGTTTTTTCAAGGACATCGTCATCTATGTCTATGACAGGGCAATCTAGTTTCTGACCTACTATTCTCCCAACCGTTGTTTTCCCAGCACCCGGAGGTCCCATCAGGATAATATTTTTGTTTCCAACAAGAGAATGGCTTGAGAACCATGACTTCCATAGCTGTGCAAATGCAACAGGTCTTGAAACCATCGGTTTTAAACACATGCTAGAAAGACAGTTTTGGGCTGTTAGTCCTAAAGGCCGGTACAGAACAACGTGAAACATCTTCATTTGCTGGGTTGCTTTTATTTTTTTTTCCAAGCCAACTTGACAATCCACTTAACTGCTTCAAAAAGAAAGAAAAAAAAAAAAACCAAACACTAGTTAGTCCTTCAGCAAACACCTAGGAAAACCACCTAAAAGATATGGTGAAGAATTCAAACATAAATCCACTACTGCCAGCCAAAAAAAAACCACTAGTTAGTTCTTCAGCAAACACCTAGGAAAACTACCTAAAAGATATGGAATTCAGAACAACAAGAATTCAAACATAAATCCACTACTGCCAGGCAAGTATTTTTCAGAAAAAGACTCATTCCCCAATCCTGCATAGCTCCAGCTCTCTGCCCCTGACAAATCCAACTTCCACAGTCCATGTCCTCAAGGTAAAAAGAGGCATCCAAACCTAACGTTACAATACTATTTGCAAATAATACAGTTTATAGGAGTTCAAAACCAGTTAGGTTTTCCTCTAGGAGACTTATTTTTAAGTACACATTACAAATAAGGAAATTTAACTAAATTACCTTCTTGTAATCAAAATGTTAACAAAATATGCATTTTCCCAACATCCCAAGATGCCTTTGATTTCTTATATTGTCTTTCTAAAAAGAAAAAAAAAAAAGAAACAGCAAGACTGACTTAAATACACAAAAAACTCACAGATTTGAGCAACAGCAAGGCTGGAAGAGTTGCATCCAATTCTCTCCTGAAGGGATGGCAAACCAAGCAAGTGATTTGAGAAGAACTCCTATAACAAAATTGCATTGACTATAGTTTGCATAAAGAGAGAGAGAGAGAGAGAAACACATCATAAAGACCCTAAGAGAAAACAACTCTAGGAAAATTGGATTGCCAACAAATATTCAGCAAGAGACTCTCAACATGGCATTTCGTTTGCTTAAAGAAAGCAACACCAGTACCAGCATGAATTGCCACACAGGCTTTGTGCAGTTAGGGCAAAGGGGGAAAAACTCTGAAAATCTCCTTAAAGGGGAAAGGAAGGGGCAGAAATCAGCACAAATTTACACAGAAAATCCCTACAGAGTCATTTTTCTTTAGGTAGGGAAACAAATATCAGTTTGTTATTATTATTTATTCACTGCTCATGACTAAAAATTATTAAAGAAAAGCAACACTGAACTTCCATTTGGAAAATTAATGACATTTTTGATGTAAATATCTTAGTGCTTGTGGATTCTAAAAGAATATAATTTTTAATATGTATTTGCAAGATATATAAAATCATCATTTTTTAAAAATTATTACTTTTAGTTGCTATAGGTGTGCAGTACAAAGAGATGATTGACTAAGCTGCAGGTTGTTTGAGGATTTTTTTTGTCCTGGCACTGTAACATACAACCAACATGGCAATCAGCAATTCCCAATAACTACATTTTAATAATGCAGCCTAGCTGCTAGCAACCAAGCATTTGCTTTGCAATGTTTACTAAAATATTTAAGTTTATGCACTAGCTACTTCTACCAGTGAAGAAAATTTTAATGAGAAAGTCTTTCCCCACATTAGTCAAGACAGACTAAATAGAACAATTAAAGGAATTCACTAGAGAATAAGTTTCCAAATCCTTCAACTGTTCAGTGCCTTTTCTCCAGATGCCCTCCAATGCAACAGCCTCTTACCACCATGGAGAGCAGAGGGTGGTCTGGAATTGCAGCAGAAGGCAGGTGAGCACCCAATGGGAACTGCATCATCTTCCAAAGACCTACTCAAGATTAACTTGCGTTTACAGTTGTCACTCCAGCCCTTTAGAGACCGTGCTGCTCCCCATCATAATATCAAATTACTCCAGAGACCCAGGTCACAAACTTCAAAAACGACACAGAAGCTGAAGCTTTGTAAGAGCAAATTTCAAAAACAAAGACTCTTCACTTCCAGGTGCTCCTTGGTCTAGACAGTGTTCTGTGTTCCTCAATCTGTCTTTTGTACTCTACATTCTTTACCAAACTATTAGCATACTTCTAATAATTTACGTCTTTGCATTTGCTTGCTTCTACATGGAGAGATGAGCTTGCAAACAGTTAAGTCTCTGCGTTTGCACTCAATGCTGGGACACGATCAACATGCTGTAATTGCAAGGCATAGATCAAAGATGTGCATATCCTACAGTACAGTTTTTTCCCAATCCTTATAAACTATAAAGGAATCACCCTGTGTAGATGCAAAACCAGTTTTTTGCAATCATTAATAAAAAGAAAAAAAAAAAATAATCTATCTGGAAAGAGTAGTTGTGATATTCAGAATCACTGCAGCTGCACTGCAATAGTAATGCACTCTAGCTCTGTATGTATGTATTCACTATAGGGCCAGAAAGATATTTTTGTATTAAACTTCCAGATGTAAATAAGTTATGTTCAGGATTTTAAAAAAAAAAAATTAAAAAATAATAATTTAGTGATTTTATTTCTTGAATGTAAGAATCACTTCAAGCATCACGTGTGAACTAAGGGAGTACAAACCATGCCAAGCACAGTTGCCTGCCTCCCATGTCAGGTAGATTTACTGTGGGGTGCAGTCACTTGGTACACACTATTCCGCTGCTGGATGCAACATCTGGACTGCTTTATGAGTCTATGCCATCGGTATTGTTTGAAATGAGCTTAGTCGCAGGGAATTCCTTTATTCAGCTACTCAGTTCAGCCTATTCCAGTGTAATCCAATTTAGCACCCACATAGAGCCCCCCTACACAGAAGCTCCCAACCATCGAATGCCGCCTTGTTTCTCTCAAACCCCTTTTCGTTCAATTGGCAAAACTCTACTCCAAAACCAGCCCAAATTAAACTTTATGGCTAGTAAGAGTTTACCAGACTGGTTAGGACACCAAGCCACCCAACTTCAGGTAGAAACCCCATGCCAAAAGGGTGGGTTGTTGGTTTTTTATTCTTGAAGCAGAGCTCACAGCTGTACCTCCAAGAAAATGGTAAAGTTTGACAATACACTCCGACCCATCGCTCGGGCTGCTGACAGCACCTCCTCCACAGCCACCAGCCACAGGTTTAACAACCCCTGCCGGTGACAGGAATTCCAGTGAAAACCGAACTTTGTTACTGGTACAGACACCGAGTTTGCAACAGCACAGCCTGCGGCTAAAATCCGGCCACCAAACAGGTCCCTGGCAGCTGGCAGCCGTCAAAGACCTCGAGGGAGGTCGAGACTGAAAATGACCACGTTTCAAGACAGTTAACACAGGGCAACGCCCATCTGGCGTTTGGCAGAGCTTTTGTGCAGAGAAAAAAAATTATTAACCAACCAAACAAAAAAATAATCCCGAGGTAAACCATCCAACTTGAACCTTCTCGCCAACACCCCACAGACCACGACCCTGCCAAGGTTCCCGCCTCACCGTTTGGACGCCCGGAAGGTGTCAAATGGCGGGTGAGAGAGGGTTGGAGGGGGAGGGCCCGGGCCTCACCGGGACAACGCGACACCACGGAGCCGGGTCGTCGGTCGCGCCCTCCCGGCCAGCGCCGCCCCGGCCTGCTTTGCAATGTTTACTAAAATATTTAAGTTTATATACTAGCTACTTTTACCAGTGAAGAAAATTTTAATGAGAAAGTCTTTCCCCACATTAGTCAAGACAGACTAAATAGAACAATTAAAGGAATTCACTAGAGAATAAGTTTCCAAATCCTTCAACTGTTCAGTGCCTTTTCTCCAGATGCCCTCCAATGCAACAGCCTCTTACCACCATGGAGAGCAGAGGGTGGTCTGGAATTGCAGCAGAAGGCAGGTGAGCACCCAATGGGAACTGCATCATCTTCCAAAGACCTACTCAAGATTAACTTGCGTTTACAGTTGTCACTCCAGCCCTTTAGAGACCGTGCTGCTCCCCATCATAATATCAAATTACTCCAGAGACCCAGGTCACAAACTTCAAAAACGACACAGAAGCTGAAGCTTTGTAAGAGCAAATTTCAAAAACAAAGACTCTTCACTTCCAGGTGCTCCTTGGTCTAGACAGTGTTCTGTGTTCCTCAATCTGTCTTTTGTACTCTACATTCTTTACCAAACTATTAGCATACTTCTAATAATTTACGTCTTTGCATTTGCTTGCTTCTACATGGAGAGATGAGCTTGCAAACAGTTAAGTCTCTGCGTTTGCACTCAATGCTGGGACACGATCAACATGCTGTAATTGCAAGGCATAGATCAAAGATGTGCATATCCTACAGTACAGTTTTTTCCCAATCCTTATAAACTATAAAGGAATCACCCTGTGTAGATGCAAAACCAGTTTTTTGCAATCATTAATAAAAAGAAAAAAAAAAAATAATCTATCTGGAAAGAGTAGTTGTGATATTCAGAATCACTGCAGCTGCACTGCAATAGTAATGCACTCTAGCTCTGTATGTATGTATTCACTATAGGGCCAGAAAGATATTTTTGTATTAAACTTCCAGATGTAAATAAGTTATGTTCAGGATTTTAAAAAAAAAAAATTAAAAAATAATAATTTAGTGAGGGATTTTAAAAAAAAATTAAAAAATAATAATTTAGTGATTTTATTTCTTGAATGTAAGAATCACTTCAAGCATCACGTGTGAACTAAGGGAGTACAAACCATGCCAAGCACAGTTGCCTGCCTCCCATGTCAGGTAGATTTACTGTGGGGTGCAGTCACTTGGTACACACTATTCCGCTGCTGGATGCAACATCTGGACTGCTTTATGAGTCTATGCCATCGGTATTGTTTGAAATGAGCTTAGTCGCAGGGAATTCCTTTATTCAGCTACTCAGTTCAGCCTATTCCAGTGTAATCCAATTTGGCACCCACATAGAGCCCCCCTACACAGAAGCTCCCAACCATCGAATGCCGCCTTGTTTCTCTCAAACCCCTTTTCGTTCAATTGGCAAAACTCTACTCCAAAACCAGCCCAAATTAAACTTTATGGCTAGTAAGAGTTTACCAGACTGGTTAGGACACCAAGCCACCCAACTTCAGGTAGAAACCCCATGCCAAAAGGGTGGGTTGTTGGTTTTTTATTCTTGAAGCAGAGCTCACAGCTGTACCTCCAAGGAAATGGTAAGGTTTGACAATACACTCCGACCCATCGCTCGGGCTGCTGACAGCACCTCCTCCACAGCCACCAGCCACAGGTTTAACAACCCCTGCCGGTGACAGGAATTCCAGTGAAAACCGAACTTTGTTACTGGTACAGACACCGAGTTTGCAACAGCACAGCCTGCGGCTAAAATCCGGCCACCAAACAGGTCCCTGGCAGCTGGCAGCCGTCAAAGACCTCGAGGGAGGTCGAGACTGAAAATGACCACGTTTCAAGACTGTTAACACAGGGCAACGCCCATCTGACGTTTGGCAGAGCTTTTGTGCAGAGAAAAAAATTAATTAAACTAACAAAAAAATAATAATCCCGAAGTAAACCATCCAACTTGAACCTTCTCGCCAACACCCCACGGACCACGACCCTGCCAAGGTTCCCGCCTCACCGTTTGGACGCCCGGAAGGTGTCAAATGGCGGGTGGGAGCGGGGTGGAGGGGGGGGGCCCGGGCCGCACCGGGACAACGCGACACCACGGAGCCGGGTCGGTCGCGCCCTCCCGGCCAGCGCCGCCCCGGCCTCCCGCCTCCCCTCAGGAGCGGCGACAGCGGCGGCAGCGGCGACCCGACCCTGTCCTGCCCTGTCCCCGCGGCTCGGATCTGCTCGGACCGGCTCGAACCGGTTCCCCTCTCCCTCAGGCGCCCCCCCGGGTGGCGCGCGCGCACCTACCAGCGGGGGCGGAAACACCGGGCACCGGTACCGCGGCGCGACCCGCGCGCCCCCCCCTCCCTTTCCCCCACCGCGCACGCGCGGGCACCTGCCCGCCCCGCCCCTATCGCGACTCCGCCCAGAGCCGCCGTGTGCGAAGTGCGCATGCGCCCCTCCAGGCGCCGCGGGGAGCCACTGCGCCTGCGCGGCCGCTCCCTGTCCCTACGGGCGTAGGCTCCGCCCCCCGTGGCGGTGTTACCTAGCAACGGGTTTCCCCGGTAACCGCAGGGACAACAGTGAGGCGGCCCGCGGCGGCCTGAGGGGGCGGGCGGCTGGAGCCGTTGGCTGGAGCGGGCCGAGGGCCAGCAGGGAGGCAAGGCGAGGTCCCCGCAGCGAGGTGGGCGGCTTCCCCCGCCTCCAGGGCCCCCCTCGGGCAGAGGATGCTGGCGCAGCGCACCCCGGAGATTATCCATAAGCTGCCCCCCGTGGAGGAGAAGCAGCCTGTCAAACCTCCCAGGTACGTGGGTGTGACAGCACCACTTGCTGACACGGTGACTGGGTCTGGCAAGGTCTTATGGGTTAACAGGTAGTAAAAAAAAATATAATCAGTCCTGTTTTTGCGTGGTTGTTGGTGCTCCTAATGAGTCACTAACTAACACCGGGGAGCGTACAGCCTGCTCCCTGAGCTGATGACTCAGTTTGGTACCTCCAGTGCCACCTTGTTCACTGACAAAGAACTTCGAAAGCACTCTTTCCACCCAGAGGAATTACGTGACATCTTCGTTATTCATATTCATAACAATTTTTCAGTGAGCAGTTGAAACTTTGGTGGTTTTTTACGTTTCCCTCAGTGCCACGCTCCCATTCTTTCCACGTGTCAGGTGTATCTTCTGACATTGTTTCTTTTGTTTCTATTTCTCACCCCTTACCTTAAAAACATTAAAATTGCCTTTTGCCCCCCTAGTATTAATTTGTTTGAGAGTTTTTGTAAAGTTCTTATTTGGTAACGATGCAAACAGATGTTGTTTTTTCAGGTCCTTATTACTTTACATGAAAGAAAACTGTTACAGGTAACATTTTCAGTGAAAAGTTATCATAGGTCATAACTCAATGGCTTTAAAATTAGTAGAAATATCAGTGACACTCCTTAGAAAAAGGTAGTTATCCCTTTTCAGGTAAAAAGATTTCAGACTTGTGAGATTCCTAACTGAACCTTTTCCATGTAAAAATAGATAACACATCCTTTTTTTTTGTTTCTAATGTGAATGTAAGATACTTTTCGTGGACAAAGGAAAGTGAAATGACAGTATGGCAAGGCACGCAGCACACCAAATCCATTCCTGCCTTAATACCACTCAAGGATTTGGACACTGCATGGCCATCAGGTTGAGTTTAGGCAAGGGATTCCTTAGGCTGTATCCAATCTGACTAAATCCCCTTCTGATCTCATTGCCTTCTGTTGTCACCCCACTTCCATTGGTTCGCAATGTGTCAAATATCCTGCTGGTAACAACAGTGTTCAACCTGGTTAGTAGCACGATCTGACCAGTTTTCACTGATGCATACAAAATCTAGGGTCTTTTTTTTTTTTTTCAAATCAAATCATACATATTTCACTCTCAACTGACCAGATACTACTCATGAAACCAAGGCAAGAGTCCTCATTTTCCCCAACTTCGATGTCCCAAGATGACACCTAAGGAATAGTAACTGTCTTCTTACAAAACCATTGTCTTTTCTCCCCTTGCCACATAATAAATGGATTAAGATTCTCAAATCCCCCATAACCATGTTTTCTTCCTTGCAACCCTCTCTAACCCTATGTTAGGTGTATGACAGCATTTAGCCACTGTCTTGGCCTGAAAAGTCACTGAAAAGATACAACTGCCACATCTCTTTGTCCAAAGGAATGCCTGTAGCTGTCTACAGCTGATGTTTTTACCTTATGCCTACATGTAATAAACTCAATACCTACTCAATCACTACTAGGTCAAACTCCCCATAAAGTCACTGCCTTTCTCTACTCCTAGCAAATGGTGAGATACACAATTATTTATCAATGTAGGGGGACTTGTGCCTATGTCTGTAGCTGTTTGCTATGAATTAACAGCAATAAATCAATAAAACCTCATTCCTTATAATTAGAGGTATTTCTGGAATTATATATAAACTTTTGTACATAATCCTCTTTCTGATTTTGGAGACCAAATCTCCAGAATACAAAATAGCTCCACATATTTAATTAAGTCCTTTTACATATTCTAACGTTATGATCCAGTACAAATACATTATGAGACATTTGCAGCTCATACAAAAGCTTTTATTAGTATATTGCTACTATGAATCCCACCACTGGGCCAGCATTAAATTATTTCATATTTTAGTATTTCCGTAAAATACATTGCATAATATCTAATATTTTCTATTCTTTTTTTCCTTACCTGAAAACATGGTACATTTTTTTTCCATAAACACATCTTTTCTGTGAAAGAAGAGCACAACTGTTTGTCAGCTTTTTTCTACCATAAATTAATATGGCATGTTTCCTAAAGATGGACAGATCTAAAAAGCACAATGAAGTACCCTTAGCTTCAGGAGCAGGGAGTTGTGCTCCCTCAGAAAAACACGTGACAGCTCAGTCCTCCAGATAAAGGCAAGAAGCTGCTAATCAGCTAATGATGAGCATTTGGCTTCTTTTGGAGAAGTTGCATACTTTTGATTAAAGCAGAAGTTACAGTGCCATATGCAACATCACACCGAAAGAGCGGTGTGTGCATACCGTGTACATAGAGCTCTTTGTGTCTGAGCTCTTGCTGGTTTACACATTGGCCATTTCAGTTAGTGCCAAAACCACCACTGCTTACAATAGTTCATGATCATAGTTTGGATCTGTGGAATATAAGAAATGTACAGTTTACTGTGCTATTCCAGAGCAGTCATCCATTTTGTCTAATCTCTTACAATAGTCTGTAACAGGACCACTATGACAGTGATACAGTGGACAGAAATAAGATAAACTGACGATCAAGGACATTCTGTCCAACTCTTGACTACATTTGACATGTTTTCTGAAGCATGAGGGTTTACATACTTCTAAAATATGTTCCATCCCATAGAATGATGCAGTAAATGTTCTCATAATCAATATGGATCTCATCTTTTTTGAAGCCAACTGAGCTTTTCCTTAGATGTGTTTGATTGCTGCAGCTTCCGAAACAGCTGAGATAGATACACTGGCATCTGCACCTTTCTCATACTACAAACTTCCAAATATGGGAAACCTAGCAATAGAAGTTTATGATTACTATTTTCCTGTAGATGCAAAATAGCTGCATATTTTGGACGCATTTTTGAACAAAACAAATAGCCACATTAAAAAAAAACTTTTCAAAATGGAGTTAATTAAAAAATAAAGGCCAAAGTGTGTCATGCACAGCCTCGTAAGAATAATGAATTTGTGCAAGCAATACTCAAAGCATTTTATTTCCAAAATTTAGGTTTGTTGAGTTTCAAAATGTCTGTGTCCAGTATTTATATGAATGGTGCATACAGGAACCATTTCCCAAATACTGACATTGGAGACACAATAGAAGAAGAAAATAAGCGAGCTAACTAGAGAATCAGAAAAATCACTTGTCAGTGCAAATCCAAGGGGCCTTAGCCTTAGTGTGGAGGTTGTATATTTGGGAGAGAGTACAAAACAAAATAGCTTAGGCTTTTGGCATGAACTACTGCAAAAATGTATATTCTTTGAAGAAGTATTTTTAGCAATTTTTTGACATTTAACTTCTTTATGGCTATTTTTTATTGTCTAAGGTATATATCCACATTTAGACCATCTGTGAAACGTGAAGCAGAGAAAAATAAAGCTCAGTGGAAAACTATAGGACCAGCAAAAGTTGCAGTGCCATCACCAAAAAAATTTCTACAGAAACATTCAAAGGAACCCAAGCTACCAGCAAGTAAGTGTAGATGTGATATATTTGAAATGTACTGTATTTTTTTTTATTTTAAAATTGATATATTAATGTTGAAAGTAACAATTAGTTATGGAGAATGCAATTTTTAAAAAAGTTAAAATCATGTTTGTATGCTGAGGCAGCTTCCATTGTTCCTTTTACAGTACCTATGATACCAAAATTATTTCTCTATTTTACAAAAATGTTTCTAATTTATGGTGTAAAATATTGAACCAAGCAACACAGAGATTATATATGTGATTAGAAAATACAGTATGTATTTACTGTCATGTGGTACAAAACCAGCTGAAATATAAAGAAAAAATATATTTCTCTTGGCTACAGCTATTCAGATGTTGAAGTTCTGTGATGGTATGTTCTACCCTGCTGATATTTCAGTTTGTAATTATATAGTTTAGATTTGTATGCCATTATTTTCTGCAACTGATCATTAATAATAAAGTAAATAATATGAATAGGGGTATGAAAAGTGAAAGAACTGTTTTTAATGCTTGAAGAGATACGAGAGAAGTATGTGTGCCTTTCTTGATGTTATAAGCAACATCCAGCTTTTCAGCACTCATTGTAGGCTCTTAATCCCATAGCATTAAATTGGCTGGCAGTGTCTAAAGCACAGAATTTTTCGCAGAGCTGCATGTCACGGAAAGAAGAAATTTGGAATATTTTGTTGGAAAATACATCCTCTCTTTGGGCACAAACCATAATTCTAGGTATAAGGAGTTGAAAGTTCTAATGTACAGCCTCGGGGCTGGCTCTGCAAGGGTGATGTGACTGGAATTCTAAGTACATTGCTGTCAGAATTTTTAGTTGATTTCGAAAGTTTCAGCTTGAAATTGTTTTTAGCCTGGAAAAATAGAAGATCTTAATGTACAGTATACAAAAAAAAAAAAAGCTGTCTAAGAGAATGTAGGAGTCTAGCACCCAAATTTGCGTGGCACACACAAGTGGCTTTAGCACTGAAAATACAAGCTGTCCCAGGAGGCTTTGGAGGCTTAATGCCTCAGGCAATATGGATTATGGAATTTTAAGGTACGCTTTGGTCCCAGAGGTTCTTTATGCATCCTGGGTCATTTTTGGATAAAACCTTCCCTTTTTTAGGAAATCTGAACAGCATTCAGTATACTGGCATGTACTGCTGCATGACATCTGAGCATAAATGCTTCCAAGATCAAGATCCTTGTTAAATTACCACACGAGTGTTTTAGATGGGCGTAGGAAAGAAGGTTGATTAATCAATAATTTAGAGTAGTCCATAAGATCCCTTTAAGCATTATAAAATTACTGCTACTTATTCCAAATATGCTATATTTTGAGATACAGCACTCTGACTCATTTTTCTCAGACAAGCAGCTCACAATATTTGTATTTCAATTTGTTGATTCAAGGCTTCATAACAGCAATATGGGCTTTGGTGTTTGCATTTGGAGTCAATGTACCAGAGCCTCAAAATGTCTATGGCACATCACAGCTCTGATCCAAACCAGTAACTTCATTGCCATGCTTAGATCCTAACAGGTCTTGAGAAGGAAATGTATCATTAACTCAGAAAGTTATAGTACCTTTGTTGGATGGAATTTCATACCTACCTCAGAGACGTTACACTGCTTAATCACCTCTTTTAAAGCATGGCACTTTCATCACTTGGAATTTAACCAGTTATCAGTTGTCTAAAGGGGATTATGGCATTGTGTCTGTGATATTCTTGCCGCCTTCAAAACTGGGTTTGATCCAACTAGTTAAAAATTGGATTGCAAGGACAGAACAGAAAGATTGAATTTTTTTTCCCTAAATTATGGAAAGCATGTCTTCCTGGACTCTGGCATTCATTTTAACCAAACTCAGTTGCTGGCTCCAGAAATGAGGGCTCCCAAAAGAGCAAGTGTGCATCAGTGTACTGCAGATAAGGGTGAGCCAGTGCTCACTGAGAAGCTTCAGAGATCTTGTTTCCAAAAGGATATATTAAGAGAAATAGAGATTTAAGACTGTGTGTTCTACAGTGCTAAGTTATGGCAAGCTATCAGGTTGTAAAAGCAAAACCCAGGAAAGCGCCCGTTCGTGGGGTCAGTATCAGGAAACCAGCTGTTGTAGGAATGAGCTGTCACGTGACATTACACTTATTTCTGCCAAATAAGAACATGGACTCAGACAACCTGAGTCAAATCATTATTTCTGATAATGACTGTGAATTAGAGTTATATCTAGTGAGAAATATGGTGGGAAATGTATTGTCTTTCATCACTCATCAGAAGTCATAGAATCTTAGAATCATAGAATTGTCCAGGTTGGAAGGGATCTTTAAGATTATCTAGTCCAACCATCAACCTAACTCTGATTAAAAAAAAATAAATCACTAAACCATGTCTCTAAGCACTCTGTCAATCCTCCTTTTAAGTGCCTCCAGGGATGGTGCCTCAATCGCTTCCCTGGGCAGCCCATTCCAATGCTTAATAACCCTTTCAGTGCGAAAAATTTTCTGTTGGTGCCTTGGAGAAAAGATTTTACTAAAAAGGAAGAGTTTCTATAGTCTCTGGAGAAAGTATTGCGAGAAGCTGTTTATGAGTGTTAGGGAGCAGTAAGAGCAGGGGTTTTCCCTAAGAGGAGGTGAGGCAGAAATTGAGGGCCACCCCAAGGCAGGCTGGGCAACGATCTCACCAGCAGGGTGCAATCCCTGCTCTGCTCTGTTGCATAAGGAGCATATTATAAGGCAAACCCATCTAAACCAACATAGTATTTCCTAGGTTATGAAACTTCAGTTACGCCAAAGAAGCATAATCATTTTCATCACAGTACATTCCCAGTCAATTCTTTTATTGTAGACACAGTTGGTTTCTATTTTTACGTAATTCTGTATATAATTTTTCCCTTTTGAAAAATGTAATAACATTAAATTGCAAAGCTCTTCGTGGTTATTGCTGAGAATGTTTACATGCTCAATTCACAGGGAAAAAAGAACAGGATAGTAAGAAATTGCCTGCATTATCAGTGCCACGGAGGACAGATCGCCCAGTTATGGGAATTCAGAGTAAAAAGAATTTTATAAATACAAACGCAGTTGCTGCTATCTCGGGATTGCCTAAAAAGCCTCAACCTATCTGTGTTGATAGAAGACAGGGAGATAAGTATCTGCTTGAAACTTCAGGCCTTGTTCCAAAATACATTAAAAAAAAGGTAAGTTTTATAAAATTATAGTGGCAATACTAGTAGCAATACCTTTTTTAGGTTCTCTATTGCATTCTCCTATGAAATGTTTATAATGCTTTTTGAGATGTTTAGGTACCGCTGCTGTTAGTGGTAGACCTTTGAAATTCATCAAGGAGAAATCACTGGCAGTAGAGCTGTGCCTTGCCTTTCCTCTGTATTCACTTGCCAATGCTGTCAGCAAAAAATTGGCATAATGATGCTCCTAAAGCAATAGCATTTGTGTTGCACTGGGAACCCACAGAGTATCTAATGCGGAGACAAATGGAGTTCTGTGATGAATGAATCCTTACTCTTTAGGAAAGACGGGCAGGGAAGAAGAGAAGGGGTAGCTCTTTGGATAAAGGAGCTATTCAAATATATGCAATTGGCAACAGGCTGGTTGAGATTGTGGGTCAGGATCAGAGGAAAAGCCAGTAAGTGTCAAAAGCGTGTTTGACAACACAATGGGATGAAAGCAATCCATAAAGGTTCCTGGAGCATGTCAGCAACAGCTTCTTAACACAGATTGTGGATGAGCCAACCGATGATCATATTCTTCTGTTTCTGCTACTTACAAATGAGAAAGAACTGGTCAGAGGTGTGATAATTAATAGTAGTCTTGGTTGCACAGGCTGTGAAGTAGTTCAAGATTCCCTCCCCCTTGGGAAGGCAGGTGGTAGCGTACAGGCCCTGTACTTCAGGAAATCAAACATCAGCTAATTCAGGGAACTGGTAGGTAGGACCCTGTGGGAGACAGCTCTGAAAAGCAAAGGAGCTTAAGAGAGCTAGCATGCCTTTAGGGACAACCTCCCCCAAGCACAAGAACAGTCCATTCCGCTCCTGAGGAAAACAAGATGCATCAGGAGTCTGGTTTATCCAAACAGGTAATTCATGCAAGAGCATTATGCAGAGAGAGACATGACATGACATAACTCATGGCTCAGTGAACCTGCAGCCCTTGCAGTACCTTTGCATGGCTAAATATATATATAAACAATGCTAGTCATAGTGCTACCAAACACTAAAAGATTTGGGAATCATTTAGCATTTGCTGGGAAAAAGGAAGAAAGCTCTGGTACCTTCTGGCAGAGCTAGAGAGGCTTCATCTTACAAAGGATAAGGTAAAAAAGATATGTTTCTCCAAGTATATCTGGGATATTCAGAAATTATTTTTCCTCCCAGAAACACGATTCTGCCACATCCAATACGGGATAGTTTATCATTCCTAACAAGTCCAGTTTTTGAGTATGTGTTGACACTATTCACTCTCTTCTGTGGCATGCAAAGTTCAGAAATAAAAAGGACACAGGAAGACTTTTCAAAGAAAGTATCTAAGGAATGTATTTCAGAATGTAGAATCTGACACCGTATAAAAATGTAAAACAGCTTGTTGTCATTTACCACTTTCAAACTCCTCACTCAATCATCAATTCTTACAAATAAACATTTTGGTTTCTGGATTCTGTTGTCTTCCAGGGATGCAAAAAAAAATAGAAGAGAATTGTTTATGCGTTTTGCTCAGGCTACAAAAACAATCACATTTGCTACTAATAAGAACACGGTGATTTAAAATTTTATTGCTTGGTGGCACAAAATTCCATTTTCAAGCTGTCTTTGCAAATGTAGTATACTACGGATGACAGATATGTCTTTGTTTCCTCCTTAAAAACACATATAAGAAAATACTTCCTTAACCTTATAGGATTATGGTGTTATACCAAAATATATAACACAGAGAAATGAAGACAAGAAGAGAGCTCAGAAAGAATATGAGGCCAGTATCGTGGAGCAACTCAAGAAAAATGCTATGAAACGGCTGTCTGATGAAGAAAGGAGCAGTCTTCTGCAGGTGCATATTTTGATTTAGTGTAATTAGTAACATGTACAAAAGATTAAGAAGTATTTTAAGTCCATATAAATAATAAAAGTGTACTAGATTTTTTACTACTTTTTCACTAGATGGAGCTGTAGAACAATTGTAAACCGAACTGAAAGGAGCTGATGTACCTACAGCTTTGGTCCAGTTCTGGAAATACTTAAATTCTGTTAGATTCCTATCCCCCTTAATGATTTGGAATTTCAGTGAAACTTCAAAGGAATACAGAAAATCACTTATATGGATTTAGTGACAGTTCTGAATCTCTACTCATGGAAAAATACAAATTGGTTTGGTGTTGGTTTTTTTTCCTGATGCATAACGTTGCCAATTTTATTGGCAGTTTCTATCTTCACATTGTGACCTCACTGACTAAACCATAAGGTCATGCTTTAAAATGTGGCAAAACCAGAATTAAATCACAATATATTTGTAGAACTATGAGTGGGGAAATTGTATTTTGTCAAGCTGTTTTGGATACCGTCTGTCATACAGTTTTTATTGCACAAGATTTTCTAAAGAGAAATAATACCATAAAAGAAGTAGAGCGGAAAAGAGAAATTTTAAAAGTATATCCAGTCCTTGAACTGGAATTTCTCATGACCTTTTAGCCAAATTTCCTATGAAAATGAGGCTTACATTACTGTTATATCTGTTTATCGGTCAGTCCCTTAGTAACTTGATCTTAGCAGCCACCTGAAGCAAAATAGCAGATGGTGGACATCTCCAAGATGCTAAATTCCCACAAAAAAAGCCAGCAGAATATCCAGAGGGAAAACACAGTGTCAAACTCACTTGCAAAGATTAACTGGTTAGTCAGCAAGATCCAAAACAGCTAGCACAATGGTGTCCCTTACTTATGCGGGAAGCAGAAGAATCTAGGAAGGAATATGGAAGAGGTGAGGGTATTGCATTGACAGCAATATAAAGAACATGACAGCAATATAAAGAACATAACAGCAAGGGTGAAGATTAAGATATTTTTATGGTGGGAAGGGCACGGGACAAGCTGATGGTCCAGCAAGTTAACTATGCAGCAAAAATATATGTGCAAAAAGGCATGTGACTTCAGCTGCTCACAATTCTGCATTTAGTTTGATTAAAATTATGTTCTAGATTTTTAAAATAAATGAGTGCCCTGAAATATTTTTTTAATTAACAAGTTTTTAGGTTACTTTTATTAACTCAATATTTTCTCTGAAATTTTTCAAAAAAGTTTTCTCTTTCATGGGCCAATTTACTTATACAGTTGTATTGTCAGGAGGAATTAGTATCCCCAGGGTATATGGCTTCTACCCAGTGCTCAGCTGTAGACATATGGGAATTCCTGTCTTTTAAAATAATTGACATTGCTAGGGAACACATGCACACTAACCAATTTGAAAGAACATCTAGCAATAGATGTCTGAGAACAAATCAAGCCTCATGTGCTTACAAAAATAAGGGGAAATAATTTGTGCCAACATTTTTTGAACTCTCTCCATTATGCTTACTTTGGTTGGGATTTTATAATAATAAAAGAGTATGTTGATAAATGCAGCACATATTTCTCACTGATCCAGTATGTATTAGAATTCCTTATATAGAGTTAGATACTCACTCAGTTTGTGATCTGGCCCATAACAATAGGGGTCAGCATGTTACATTGCTGGGAGGGAGATTTTTATGTAGGGAGTCATGATCTGCTTTTGATCTCTCCACTCTGTAGGGGTAGAGTAAATTGTGATGAGTGCACGATCTAATATGTTTTAAAACTCACTGTTTTCAATTATTTCCAAACAATTTTTTTACTAATGTACACAAAGAAGAACTATTTTTAAAAAGCTATGAATGACTCTTCTATAAAAGTTTTAGAACTACTGTATTTATTTTCATGCCTATATAACTATACCTGATACCTAGTAGACTAGGAGCTATATTTAAGTACTTTACAGCCTTGGATTGCAAAGAAAAATAGCATTACAAGACAGTAAATAATAGGCTTGTTGCTCTTGGTTTCACATGTTGAGGTAGGGTTTTTAAATTTATGTAGATATTTGTATATGAAGATTGTTGGAATAGTGTTCATGGACACTTAGTTGCTTAGTAGGAATATGCAAAAAGCACAAATTGCTATTGAATAAATACACTGCTTTGAATCAGTAAAATATTATTTCGCATTAAAAAGTATGTCAGTCTGGGAGAAAAGGTGCTTAACAATAGCGGAGAAGAAGGACATGAGGCTGGAAATCACAATGTGCCATAGAATCTGTGTGTCAGCTGAATCTGGTTTTAGTTACGAAGGAAAACTGAAAACTTTTGTTTCCAAGAGAGTAACTTCAGTTCTTCATTTGTTAAGATACTTTGTGATCTCCCTAAGGAAACAGAACTGAGAGCCAAAAATGTTTTGGAAAAGTGTTTTCTCACTGATGGCTGTATTGTATTATTTACTGATTGCTGTATGAGTTCCTTCCAATAGGTGCGATTATTGCATTCACCCTTATAGTTTTCATGAGGACATTTGGTGCACTGAATAAACTCTACTAAATCCTTGTATATGCATATATAGGATGTGTAGATTTTGATTATCCTCTTGAGGATAATAAGAGCAATTGTTGTAGGAATTGTGAGGATTTGTGAGTAATTGTAAGGAATTTTTCTACCACAGTGGGGTTCCATTCAGCATATCAGGGGATAAAAGTTTGTCTCTAATGTTGAATTAACAGGTTTATGAGTATGTTTCAGATAATTGCATGGAGTTTTTGGAGGCAGGGGTCTAGTCTTGGGCTTTTATAATATGAAAATACGGTTCACTTTATCTAGGAAGGTAATTTTTTGCATAGCAGCATTCAAGAGAGGAGGCAGTTACTGAAATTACTGTTGATAGGGTCAGTGCCAGCTAGGTTTTTTAGACCAGCTGGTAAATAAGTTGCCTACAGATGTTGCTGTCAATGTAGATTTGGAAGGGAATACAATTATTTAGAATTTCTTCCAGGTAGTTCAAGTAATTAAAATATTGTGGGATTAGTTTGGTGGCCATGGTCTGAGAAAAGTCTCAGTTACTGAAAATGAAGCTGGTGGTGAGATGATCTGAGACTGTGATTTTGGCTGGAGTTCCATGTATTGGTACTCTTGTGATTACTTAAGGTAGGTAACACCACCGTGGGTGACGTAGTGATATCTGTGGTAGCCAGGTTGTTTATGGGGAAGTGGTTTCTGTAGTTCTGTAGTTTGTAAGGTATTTCCTGTTGCACTTTGGAGAAAATTAGGCATTTGAGTGATAGGAGTTTTGAGGCAGCTTTATGAATCCTAGTAGTTCCTCAGTGAGCATACTAGGCTTAGATACAACAGAGGTGAAAGTTGCCTACTTGTAGATCACTGAAAGCATAGAAAGTCTCTTACACAGAATAAGGAAGAGTCACTCTATTTACCTTGTGCAGTTTTTCTTGGAGATACTGAGGACTGGAAATGAAGTGCACAGGCTTCCTTGAGTTCCTGGTAGGCCACAAAGATGACTCTTAGTTACATGGACATAGTCTTTTCAGTTTAGCATTTTTGTAGCTCATCCTTCATTGGCTAGTTTAATTACTGTTTTGTTGCTTCTTAAAGATGGTAGTTTTTTCCTTCCAACGTACTGAGTTTTTTAAAGACCACTCCTTATACTGTATTAGGAAGAGCCAAAATTATTTCTGTTGCAACTACTTTGACTTTTAAGCATTTAATTAATTTAGTCCTATAAGATGTTTAAACATTATCCATACACTCAACTATTATTTGAACATTGCAGTGACACTTATCAAATGCAGTATTAACAAAAAGCTCTAAGTAGTTTATGTGCGTATTATTCTTAAATGAATTAAGCTTTTCTCATCTATCTTCTTTTCATGTAATGGCACTAGGGGCTGAAAAAGAACTGGGAGGAAGTGTATCGTGACTTTCAGCGTCTTCCAGTAGAAATAGACACCATACCCAAGAAGTTATATAAAGAAAAGCTGGAATTGCAGATGAAACAACTGGAGCATGACATAGAAGTAATTGAGAAGCACAAAGTTATCTACATTGCAAATGAGTAAGGACTGTTTTTCAGATATTGCCTCTCCCCTCCTTTTCTCTTTTTTCTATCCCTACATCTCCAAGCACCGCCCCCCTAAATTCTCAGAAAAAATTGACACCACCAACTATTCAGAAGGAAATATTCAACTAATATAAGTATGTAGCTTCTTAGAGAAGTTGTTACATATAGCTCTCATCTGTATAATTCACAAAACATTTTGAAATTGAATTCTTAATTAAACTTTGAGTTTAAAACCATGCATTTGATCTATTACTCTGTCTAATTTTTATTAACTACTAAGATTTCTATAAATCTCATACAAAAAGCACGAAAAATACTGTTTCATATGTTTGGAGTACTTGTTTCCTTGCACAGCCAAAACAAAGGGAAATAACTGGCAACTGAAGACTGCTTGGTAAATATACCTTCAGGGTGGGATGGCTTCTGGACTAGTTATTAAAGAGCTGTTGCGCTTTACTTAAAAGCTTGAGCGATTGTATTTCTAAACAGCTTGGCTTCTGCATAACATTTTGTCTGCTCTTTTTTTGTTACCAAACCCAGTTTTTATAGTGGAAGCCCATAATAATATAGACTTCACGCAATTCAGATACCACATGTAGCTTGCTGTGTTTATGTATAAATAATTCTGTAACACCATAGTAAATCTACAACTAAAGTAGAAAAATGTGTTTCAATTGCTATTATGTGCATAATGTTAGAATGAAAGCAACACACTAGCATGTGAGTCTAGACATAGGCAGAAATCATATCTGCACGTTATACTGCAGGTATTTGCATAAAAAGAAAAATTGTTTTTCTTTCCTACTGCTTAACCTTTGCTTCAGAACACGGCTTTTTCTGTATAGTATCAACCATTACCACCAGCAGCTGTTGTGACATCATAGTATCTGACATCAGCAGAGGATGCTCCCCTCTTGGAACATGGGAATAGCTTCTGTCACCCTATGGGACAGGTTGTAACTCCTTCCCTTTATTTTGATGTGTATTCCATGCAACCTACCAACACTTCTGATTATGGAAAAAGTATATTATAAAGAAAACAATTGAAAATACACACAGATGGATAACAGTCTTACCCTTTAACTCTCTCTGGGAAGTTTGACAAAATAAATTTGCAGAATCCAAAGAATGTAAGAATAACTCTGTATTTATATGTTCAAGAAATGCCAATAACTGAAGGTGTCATGTTCATGAATCAACTATGCCATCAGTATAACAAAGGAAAAAGGTGAGTAAACTCAATTGTTCTGATGGAATTGTTCCTTCGTAAAAGATACTAGATATTAAGGGAAGCAAGTCAGTCCACAGGCTAAAAAGTAGCATTAGCAGCTGACGTGTTACCTAAATTAGCTGGACTATTACTGATAATCAATGAAATAGTAAGGAAATCATCAAAATGCTTCTAGTACTTCGTAATTATTTTATCAACCTGGTATTTTTAAATGGTGTGTATTAATTTGATAACCATCACAAAACACATGCTAAATGGGGTATGAATGCTCTACTGGGCAGTAAGAGTTATGTTGCCACAAACCGAAACTATTTCCTGTTGGAAGTTGTGCATGACAAAACTGTGTATCTATTTTTTAAAAATAGCAACATGAAATTATGATAAATATCTCACTGGCTGTTCTTCAGAATGAAACTATTTATATCCAGGAAGGAAGGGATCAGATGTGGCATCGTCACAAACACAGGGAGTTCCTGATTGCATGGCTCCGATAGAGCTGCCTCGAGCGAGCATCAGGTCTGACGGGAGCATATGGGCTCCATGTGGCTGGTGGTTTCTTGGGCTGTGTGTGCATTCCTGGGGACTGAGTCTGGGATTGTTCCTCAAAATCTTCCTTGCAGAGGGGTAACCCCCTTCCCCTCATGAAACAGTGAGGGCAAAATTCTGTCGGAGAAATAACACGGGAGAAATTCCTCACTGATTTAATTTTCCTAAGTCTCTATATGTGGATTTTATTGTAGGAGGGCACATTCTGGCCCTCTGTCTATTTTTGTGAAAAACTGGCACCACAAAGCTACAATCTAGCCCTTTCACTGGCATATATTTCAGGGAAAACAATATATCTGAACATTTCTGCCCTAATGAAGGCAGAGGTCTTTCAGATAAGGAAACACATAAATGCAGATCAATGGGAGTCCTATATAAATGCTAGTTCTAGTCAATGCTTTCATCCTCAGCTTTATATGCCTATAATATGAATAATATAATTACAGGAGCGACAGGTGGCAAAACGTGTTATTAAGGTTGCCTGACGTTTCCCAAAGCCAGGGAAGCCAGGTGCTGAGCTCTGCAGCTGATGGGGATCACCCAGCCCGGTAACGAGAGGCGGATTGAGCCTCCCGAAGCTGAGGAGGACTGGCCATTTCTCCCCGTGAGTGGACATCCGAGGGGGTGATGTGTACTGAAGGCCTAGACCCAAATTATTATTTTTTTTTTTTCATTCCACCTCGATCTTAGAATCATAGAATCATACAGGTTGGAAGAGACCCTTGGGATCATCGAGTCCAACCATCTCCCCTACTCTACATAGTCCTTCCCTACACCATATCCCTCAGTACCCCATCTAAACGTCCCTTAAACACAGCCAGGGATGGTGACTCCACCCCCTCCCTGGGCAGCATATTCCAATGCCCGACCACTCTTTCTGTGAAAAATTCCTTCCTAATGTTCAGTCTAATCTTGCTCCAGCTCCTTTTTGTTATGCAATGTTATGGAAACAAAATGTGAGTAAATTCAGGGGTTTTCATCCTCCAGGCTAAGTAGTGGCACTGTGGTAGGAATCCAAGGTGACATGAGTTTCTTGTGGTTTTTTTTTCTTTACTGTTTCAAAGGTGCTGAGATAAATGTGTCTGTCATTTAATCAAGTTATAAAAAAAAAACATACTTTTTTTTTTCCTAGACTGTACCTCCAACAAATGGTTTTAGATGAGCAGGCATAGCCAAACAGTAAGACTACGCTCACGTCAGCTGGCCTTGTTGATGCTTCTGTGAGGGTGAACTTCTGTTCAGTCACAGTTCTAACCTCTGTTGTTAATTTGTTTTTCCATGCCTCCACATTGACTCCACAGCATGGAGAAATTAACACAAACATACAAAACTGGAATCACTTTGTCCCCAAATCCTTCCTCAAATGTTCTTCGCAATGGTGCCTACCACAAATTTAACAAGAGCTAAACCGCTGCTGAGCTGAGATTAGGGCTTATCTCACTGACCTGCACAGTTTCCTTGAACTCCCCTGGCACTGTAGCCAGTTGTTTCTTGGTTTGGGTTTAGATTTTAAGTAAGTAATCTGTCATGTAGATCATCTTTTTCTCTCTTTTCTTAGTGTCTCACACAATAAAATTTTTGTCTGTAAGTAGAACTCCTACGTGCTTATAATAATAATAACAAATATGATCATCTGGGGATGAATTAAGACGCTGCAATAAAGGGAACGGATTCAAGTTGTTTACTAAAAGGACCTGTGTTCCAAGAAACCCTCATGTCATTTGTTTCAGCAACTGGAAAGTAGGAGTTGAAGGAAGAGAAATGAGATTTAAAGCACTTAACTTATTCCCTGGAGCTGTATGATTTATTCATGTCTTTGTCATAGAATGTATTTGAAATGCAATGGTAAATGACTTATACCTGGCTTTTTCACTGGTACCCATTAATACTGCATTTCTCATTTCGGGGGTTCCTGACTTCTGCAATGTGAGCCCATATGTTTCAAATTGTGGAAATGTGTGCCTGAAGTTGGAAGCTATGCTTTGACCCTAGACAGCGCTATGTAATGGTTTGAAAGCCACTGTTCCAAACTGGTCACTCAAAATTAATGAACTTAATGTTTAATTTACTCTTGCTAGGTGACAAACCAGGACAGTCCTGAATGGGAAATTCAGGTGACTCAATCCTCTAAGTCCCAGAGCTGCTGTAAAGATAGACACGTTCCTCTAGAACTGTTCCCATCTTGCTCTGAGGGCCGAATTAAAGCTGAGGAAGCAATGTAATAGTTCTCTCTTCGGAGGAAAAACAATCAGTAGTGTTCAACATGTGGCCCCAAGCACTGCACAGTGAGGACACAACCATGTTTTGCTGTTTGCTCAAGAGAACGGTCTGTTTTTTACATAAACCATAAAATTAGCAAATGGTCTAAATCCAGCATTCCAGGGCCCCCAGGGCGCAGGTCGTTCTGTGCAGCAAGAGACCTCTGGGGTTGGCCAGCCACGAACGTTTAGCCTACGCTACAGGAGAACTTGCTGGACCAGAACTTGCTGGACCAGGTTTGGCTTTTCAATACACTTTTGTTACTGCACTGTTTATTCTAGGCAAGCTGTGAAGTACACAGAACTACATCAAAGACGGACTGAGCTGTTCTGGAAAAAAACCTCAAAAAAGTCCTTAAACGGCTATTCGTTTACTCGTTTAAAACACTCAGAGTGCTTTTGTTTTGCAGTTGTTCCCAAATTTCCTGTAGTTTATTAAAATAGAAAGGCAAAAAGACAGATGAAGCCGAGTGAACTAATTCTTTCAAAATCAAACAAACTCTAACAGTTAAATTCATTACAATGGGTGTGACCCACTGTATATTTACAATTCCCTGGCTAGTTTTCATGGCCGTGTGTGATGAATTTGTCATAGGATATGATGTGAGCAGCAGTTCTTGAAAACAGTGCTTTATAATTCAAACGTCAATACTTGTCTATAGCTGGTATGGGGAAATATTTGCATAATATTATAAGGGAAATGAAGCTTATTCTAGACTTAAAGAACAAAAGGAAATTTTTGTTTGCATTTATTTCAGCTATAAAGAACTCTATATTAATAACATGGGCCTGAAAAGCAGGAAGAGTATCTTCAGGAGCCAGGAAATTGGAAAGTGAAGCTCTCGCTGCTCTAGTCTGGCAGAGTGAGATTAATAACAAACAAAAATGTAGCTTTGTATTAAAGATGTTTATCATGGACCAAATAAGTCCAGAATTCTGTCAAGCAGTGCCTAACACTGATTTAAAGATTATAAAAAATTAAAAACCAGACTAACATCTTGAATGGCAGCTTTTAGCCATTTTCTTGACATCAAAATTATCCTAGTTAATTTTCAAGGCCTTAGTCAGTCTCGTAGAGTCAGTGCAGGTTAACTATGACAGCTAATTGCTGTGAGTTTCCCTTGTGGATCTGAGATAGTGCAGTTGCTTTAAAGTGGAACTTTCCAATTCCCCAAGGTGCTAATTCTGCTGCAATTGAAAGTGGGCAGAAGCTGGACTCCAGCTTGCAGTGCCACCCCACCACCTGCTGTAGAGCAGCAGTCACAAAGGCAAGTATGGCATTTATGATACGGTGCATCGTACCTGCCAAATTGGACAGCTTTTCCTATGCAGTACAGCAGTCACCAAGGGGAAGTATGGCATTTATGATACAGTGCATTGTACCTGCCAAATTGGACAGCTTTTCCTATGGTCCTCTAGGTTCTTGAATGTCGGGGAATGGTTTGAAAACTGCTTCATGTTCTCCCAGATACCTTAACACTGGTAAATGTTCTGGGGGTCTTCAGCAGCCACCCTATGGACTGGGTAACTGCCTCAGGTAACACAAAAGAATTCAAAATTCTGCAATATATTAAAGTTGGATATGAAAGAAATTTAGAATTACTCTCAACATGCCCTGAAGTACTGTATCTGCTAGATTTTTGTTTTTAATATTCTCATCAGTGACCATTTTAGCCCAAAATGTCTTTCTCTGCAACAACTGTGGGCGTTCACTTACCTTGTAACCACTGAGAAATGCAGGTTTATGCTTGATAAGACTGTTTACAGTTCTGCTGCTCACATCACAGCTGCAGCAACAGGCAGAACCAGAATAAGAGCTCTTACTTCATCCCCTAATTGGCAAGCTTATACCTAGGTAAGCCATACCTCTTGAAATATTCTGGATTTTCATGCTTTTCTTGTCTATTTTTGGTGTTTACATATTAAACTGAGTTGTCAAATGTTTGTTATAACTTCTTGGGAGGAGAATACACAATGGAGTTGCAAAGGCTAACAGGTACCTCCATATAATGTTTGTCTTGGACTGCTTTCTTGATATACCCCTGCCCCTAACCTTCTATTTTCAAAATTTCTTTACATCAGAGTAGTGAAGGGGTGGATGCTACATGTCCTGCTTTTATCAGTAACAGGGTAAGAGAGGAATAGATGTGTAACTGAAATGATAAATTTTTTTTCTGTAAAGGCCCAAGATAGGAATACATTCACCAGGGATTTGCATATAACTCCTAACTCTGCTTTGTTTCTCTGTGTGTTGCTTTTTCCATCTGCTCATTTATGTCTTTTGGCTATGTGTCCAGACCTACCCAGATCTACTTCTAAGTACGATCTACCCTATTTTCTTTGTTCTTTCCCCCTTTGATCATTTCCCATGCTTGTATATCTAAAAGTGTTTATTCTTTTCTTCCTCTCTTTAGTTTATAAACAAACAGCTAAACAAAGATAATAGGAAAGTTTTTCAGAATGCTTAGTCTTTTTCACAGTTAAGACCCTGATATCATGTTTTAAATAATCGTATTTTGGCCCTAATTTTAAAAGATTTTGAAAATCTACTCTAAATTCAGTCATTCTATACCAGTTCATACTGTAAAAAACAATGTAAACTTTCAGTAAGTGCATATAACTCCACAGCAAAATCCTTAACAGCTTCATAGCCATCTAGCAGCACCATCCTCCAAACTATCCAGCTAAATTTATCTAGTTTTTCATTTCCATATTCTTATTTATTGTTATTAGTGAGACATGACACTTCATTACACTTAAGTGAGCCCTAAAAAATTCTTGGAAAGAAGAATACCAAAAAGAAGACTTGACAAAACACAGTCATCCAACCTTGACAGGAAGAACAAACATTTCCTGCTTAAGTTTTCAGCACAATGCCAGAGGAATTTATTTTTTAGTATCTTGTTCATGTTAATCTTTTGCAAATCTTTAAGCTTCTGCCTGTGGTATAGTTGGAACAATCTCCTGTATTGCATCGGTCTGGTAAAGAATGTGGTTAAAAAGGAGATAAAACTGTAATAGTAACCCTACGAATCCAAAGGGTACAAGGAACCAGCACTCATACAGCAGTGGGAAAATTAATTTGAGATTCCAGCAGAAATCCAAAATCAGCACTATGGAACCCAGTTCTGTGACGTTTATGCCACACCAGCTTTATCTGTAACGTGGTGGTAACTGAATCAGATCACATTAACTTTAGGGTGAATGTGGGCTTTAGAAGGGGTTTTCACCCACCTCTAGGCAAGAAGAAACTTCAAACCTTGAAAAGTGTTTGTGGGTACAAATCAAAAGCATTTAATTCCAAAATTTAGAAACATTAGACTTACTTTCTCAATAGTCCTAAGAAATGTTGACACGCAACTGAAACGCAAAAGTATTGAGGGATCTTGCCCATCATGAAAATCTCTGTATGTTTTACAAAACTATTTTTATTTACTTTAGGTAGGTTTGTACAAATCTGTATATGCTGTTTATCAAATTCACTACTTTTTATTAAAATTATCTTAAAGCCCTGTGAACAGGAACTATTTTTTCCCAGCATACCTCGGTCTTCGTATACAGGCATCACTTCCAAGACAGACATATTCTGGAGTTGGCCTCTGTCACTTTGTAAAGCTGGTCCTCTGTTCTTTCAGACATGTTGTCAATTGTAGCAATAGTTCTCAACCCACCAAAAAGCAAACAGATCTGGCTTCAGATAAGAAAGTGAGATCATCATAAGATAATTTTCAATTGCTTTAGTACTTAGCCAGACTTTAATTGGCGATTCATTTATAGAAGCCTTCTTAACACCATATTCCTAAGCTCTTAATTATCCTACCAGTTCTAGTGTAAGTGCACTGAAAGGATGCACCTAAAAAACAGCCCAAGTTGGACACCAAACTCCTAGTCTAGACACACCCATAGTGTTTTCTGGATTCATCTGTTATGACTTGTGATCTACAAGGCTCAACGCCTACATTCTAGAAAAGCAGTGTACCAAGTTGAAATTTCTACTTGGTCGGTAAGAGCCCCTTAGTATCACTAAGCATCTTTGATTATACCCATGTCTCCACTAAGAGCAACTTTTTTTCCCCTTTAATAATTTCTAGCATAGGAATGGCAGAATTCTACCAGTTGTATATTTAACAGATAAATACCAGAAATCATAACCAAGTTTCACCTTTAAGAAAATGAAAAGCTGTCATTTTACCCTCAGTAGGCTGAGAGGCTCTTAGCATTTTTCCCAAGAGATAGGATACAAAATGATAGAGCAAGTCCAAATTTCAACATCTTACATGGAAATGACAATGATCAGAGCAACCCAAGAGAAGAAACAAGCTCCTTCTCCTCTGAGAGGCTGTGAAAGCAAAATATTAATCATAATTTTAACAGAACTAGAAGGGGGATTGCAGAAGGCTGTGTGGCTCATGATCTGTTTTCCCTTTATTGGAGCACGAACAGCACAGCGATGGGCTGAAGGCATGGGGAAGACAGAGATTACTCCAGCATCCAGCATCCAGAGTGGCGGGGATGAAGGAGCACCAGTCCAGAAGTCAGTAAGGATGGAAAGGGAGATTAATGGAAAGCTGGAACATGGGAAGTTCCACTCAAATATGAGGAAGAACTTCTTTGGGGTGAGGGTGGCAGAGCCCTGGGACAGGCTGCCCAGGGAGGGTGTGGAGTCCCCTTGTCTGGAGATCTTCAAGCCCCGCCTGGATGCTCCTGAGTGATGTGCTCTGGGCAACCCTGCTTTGACAGAGGAGTTGGACTAGATGGTCTCTAGAGGTCCTTTCCAACTACAACAATTCTGTGATTCTGTAATGAATTACTGGAAGTTTGCTTTCTGGAATCCTTTTTTCTTCCTAGAGCATACACAAAACCCGGTTAAAATGTCAGTTTAGACCACACCAGCTTAATCTCACCCGCTAACACCTTCAGCCCAGGCCTCTTGCCCAGCCCTACCCAAGCCTTTCCCCCACCCCGCTGGTCTCCCTCCAGCCCCGGGCTCCCCGGGCCGCCCCCGCGCCTGGAGCTGCCTCCACCCTGCTCCCCGCTCCAGGAGCGGGCAACAACCCCGCAGACACCGCCGAGCCCCCCGCACCGCTTCCTCAACACCTGCCCCGCGGCTGTACGCACAGTTTGGCTGATGTATTACAGCCCCCATCTCCTCTCCTCTTCAGAGAGGCAATTAAGCCTCATCAACTGTGTCCAGTTTTGGGCCCCCTACCATAAAAAAGACATTGAGGTGCTGGAGCGGGTCCAGAGAAGGGCAACAAAGCTGGTGAGGGGTCTGGAGAGTAAGGCTTATGAGGAGAGGCTGAGGGAGCTGGGGTTATTCAGCCTGGAGAAGAGGAGGCTGAGGGGAGACCTTATTGCTCTGTACAGCTACCTGAAAGGAGGGTGTAGAGAGGTGGGGGTCGGTCTCTTTTCTCAAGTCACAGGCGACAGGACAAGAGGAAATGGCCTCAAGTAGTGCCAGGGGAGGTTCAGGCTGGATATTAGGAAAAAATTTTTCACTGAAAGGGTTATCAGCCATTGGAATGGGCTGCCCAGGGAGGTGGTTGAGGCACCATCCCTGGAGGTGTTCAAAAGACAGGTTGATGTAGTGCTGGGAGGTATGGTTTAGTGATGCTCCTTGTTTGTTGTGTGGGTGTCTATTTTTGTCAGTTAGGTTGCCGGTTGGACAAGATGATCTTTAAGGTCCCTTCCAACCTAGAAGATTCTGTGATTGCGGCGTAAGCCCAGCCGGGGAGCGCCTGTTTGGCGAGCCCCCACCGCCGGCGGGCACCCCGCAGGGCCTCTTCCCCACACAGAGGTGGGGGACCGGCCCCAAACACAGCGGTGTAGCCCCCCAATACCCCGGGGCCAGCCCCCTCGGGCTTCCCGCAGCCTCCCTCCCTCCTCCGGGGAGCAGCGGCGGAGGGCGCAGCCCGGCCCCCGGCCCCGCCCCGCCGCAGCCCCTCGGGCGGGCGCGGAGGAAGATGGCCGGGCAAGGCGAAGGAGGAGGAGGCAGCAGCAGCAGCAGCGCCGAGGCGCGGAGCGGCGGAGGCCGCGGCGTTGTGGTAAATGCAAAGCGTCGCCCGGCCCGCCCCGGCCACTCGTATTTCCTCCCCCCGCCCTCCCCGCGGATCCTTCCCGCCCGCCCTCCGCGTCTGTCGCTCCCCCGGCGCTTTGTGCTTGACCCCCCGGCACCGCGCGGTTCACGCTGGCCGGCCCCTGCCCTGAGGCGGCTGCTAGCCCTCGCCTCTCCCCTCACGTCCTTCCCGCCCGCCGAGCGGGGTCCTCGCTGGCACCGGGCTTCCCCCTGCCGGGCACTCGGGCCGCGTCCCCTCACCCTGCTCCCCTCCTCACGCCTCAGCCCGCCCTGGGGCTGCCGCGGGGGGACGGTGCCTGTTGGGCTGCCCGGGCTAGGGGCAGGCCGGCCGACCGGCTCCCCCGGGTTCACCGGCTTTTTCACCGTGAAAATGCCGTCCTGAATGATGATCCCGAGCAGCGGCGGCTGTGCCTTTCACCAGGTTGAGTAATTGAGGTGGGGATCCTCAGGGATCCCACCCGAATGCAGAGAGGCCTTGTGAGGATCTGGGAGGGCTGTAAAAGCCCTGCTGTTGGGCTGCCCCTTATTCTTCCATGATGGGAAAACAGAAAACTGTGGTGGGTGTGAGGGTGGTGAGACACTGGAACAGGGTGCCCAGAGAAGCTGTGGCTGCCCCATCCCTGGAGGGGTTCAAGGCCAGGTTGGATGGGGTTTGGAGCAACCTGGTCTGGTGGGAGGTGTCCCTGCCCAGGGCAGGGGGTTGGAACTTGATGATCTTTAAGGTCCCTTCCAACTCTAGCCAGTCTGTGAAAAAGCCCAGACTTTGGTGGTGCGTTTGAGTGGCCGTGGGGCTAAATGGGTTATAAAAAACCAAATGAATATGCTCCTTATTCTGAGGGACCAAACAGATTTTCCTGTGAAGCAGATACCCTCACTGCCACCCCCTCAGGTATGTTCTTATTTGGCTGTGTCGTTGGGACTGTAACCCTGTTGGAGAACAGCCACCCAGGTGGTGGCCCAGAGACGGAGGCTGTGTGCCATCAGCGGTTACACCTGGCCCATGCCAGTGTCCCCTCCGTCCCCCTTCCAAAGAAACCCGTCACTCTCTCTGACACACCATGCATCAGCCACTTCTCCTGCCGCTGGTGGGATAAATGGCATTCTTAAAGCGGGCCGACTGTGTTTAGTGCCCAAGTGACGTGAGGGTATTGCCAAGGAGGAGATGAGTGCCCAAATGTGTGCATGTGCTCCCCAATCCTCCCAAAAAATAACCAAAAGTAAGGCCAGTGCAGTGTGATTTAAGTTTGCAAATGGTGGACTTGACTCGATGCTTGGCCTCTTATTTTGTACCAAAGCAGAATCCAGATCGTTGTTGCTTTGAAGTGAGTACTGTGCTCAAACCTCAGGTGTACCCACTTTGCCAGATGACAAAGCTACCTTCCAGAGGTGTTGCAATTGAATGTCTCCAGCTTCTCTCTTGTACCTCAAGGCAATGCTTTTGGGTATCGCCATGTATTTGTATTCCTTTTTGTATACATTCATATCAACTTTTTTAAAACCTACTGAAGAATTTCTGCTGGGCTGCTTGAACATGCCAAGCCTGAACTTTAAAAGTAGCTCTTTCTTTCACTGTAAGACTTTTTTTACACACTTGTGTACCAATATATTTAGTATATATAGTTATTTATCCAGTTGAATACTGTCTTTTTATTGAAACAATCACAAATATTTCTTTCATATTTTCAAGGGCTAAAGCCAGAAGTAAATAGAAGTTGAGTTTAATTTGGGAGCGATATTTTTTGATCTTAACTATTAAACTGAGGATAGTGGCACTTTTTTTTTTAAAATTCACAAACAGAATGCTCATAAAAATTTACAGTTACTTGAAAATTGTCCTATAGCATAATGCTGTGAATAGCTTTAGGATAAATGATAATATCTAAGGTTTATTGTTGGCAAGTCCCTGTTTAAAAGAAAGAAGAATATGAAATAGGCTCATTATATTAGCAAAATAATTAATTAGAAAGTACATGTGAATTTAATCTTATTTGTCAAATGCCAGTGAGCACTTTTAAATGAGAACTACTATATTATTGCAAAGTGATGCAGTTTATGTTCTTTTATTCTAGAAGGATAGATAGGAGAATCAAGATTTCATCCTGATCCTGTTTCAAAGTTCTTACTGTAACCTAAGTAAGAGCTATTGGCTTGTGAGAATTCCAAAGCAGTTTCCATCCATTTAGTTTGATCTTCTGCATCACACTGAAAACATGCAATTTGGCAAGAATGCATAAGCAATACTGACAAAGGTTTTTCGTGGCTGTTTATAGTACTTACGCAATTTAAAGCACTATCTGAAATTGTTACATTTTATGTTAAAATGCTTTTGAACGGAACCATGCCAGACACTTCATTGCGACAAAATGTTTAAAATGTGGCAGCCACCCCTATGGACTGAAAATGAAGATGGGAAAATAAGCTTCCCAGGCCTTCTGCAGCAGTGTTTTTGGAGCAAGATTTGCCTCTAATTAAAAGCCTGGCCAAAGAGGATATTTAAAATCTCCTGTTTCTATGGAAATGAGGAACATAGCTAAGTAACCTTTTCCTTTTGTGTCGTTTCAAGGCTTGTGTAAGTCAGGGGAAAAGTGTTCATTGATTCCAGTGATCTCCAAGTCATGGTCTTTATGGGCAAATGTTCAGTAGTAATTACTAACAAATAACTTTTTTGATACAGAAACTGCTGTGCAGAGTTAAGAAAACACAACGGTCAGGGTGTCTATAGCTGTCAATGAATATCCAAAAAAAAACATCAGCCAAACAAAAATCCATGAGGCAGAACACAGTTTCAGTGCAGCGTGAGGCAGGGCTATGCTGAAGTTCAAGAAGACTAGATGTGGAGGAACAGCTTAACATCAAATATGTTGTGTTAGCCTAGATATTTTTGAGACATGGTTTATTGCTCTACTACATGAAATCGTAGGCAGAGGTTACTTTCGGTGATGGTCCTTTAAAGACTATATTTAGCAGAAATGCCATTAAGACATGCACCTCACAAAGGAAAATTTCTCACTAATTATCTTTCTACTCAAGATTCATGTGGCCAAGCTGTAGAAAGAGTAAAGACAATATGTGACTTGAAGACCATGATTGTGAAGAAAGCCTATTAGGTGTTGCTTTTTATCCTGAAGCAATATTGAAGCAAAGATTTGTAATGATTCCAAGACACCTTGTGAACCTGCAGGTCTTGTCTTTCACAAGGAGTTGTGACAATTGCTAATTTGGGGTTTGCTTAGTTCTTCTGCTGATGACTTAGTTCTTCTGCTGATGACTTTGCATCTACGTAGCTTTCTGAAGCCTTTACCTGTTGGTTGATTTTTGCCCTACTTAATCTCTACTGCCACTGTATGCCTTGGGATCTGCTAATTGCTGTATTCTGATGCTTATGAAACTAACATATATTAAATCTGTGAAATATTTTTTCTGTAAATGTATGGATTTACAGAATAGCTGAGAGAGGTGAGACGTGAACATTGTGTGATCACTTACCTTTGATGATTTCCCTAAATTAAGAACCTCACCTTTTGCAAGAAGTACAGTCTTCCACTGATTTGTACAGATACCAGCCATGAATCACATAACTTATTCTCTCTACGTGCTGTTTCATCTGTAGAATATTTATTTATTTCTGTGGGACCTTCAAATACCTCTAAACCAGAAATGTACAATTTCAGTGTATGATTTTATGACTTTTAATCCCACTGTCTGAATCTCCCGTTGGAGATTGAATATTGAATATTTCCTCTTTCTATCTAGTTGTTTGCAATTTTGGTTGAATTTTCCTGCATTCTGTGGGGAAGAAAACTGTAGCATTTGATTTCTGAGATATACTGAGAGGCAAAATAATTAATAGGAAAAGTGAAATAGTAAATTATAACTGGAAGAGAGTATGGCGTATGATTAATTCAGCCAATAGAGTGTACTAGAACACTGATTTTATATCAGTTACATATTGTCAAACACTGTGAAGTGTTCTTAACAGTACTATTTGCTATTCAGATTTCAGACAATTGGCCTGGCTACAGTCTGGATTTGTTCACTTATCCTCAGCACTACTATGGAGATCTGGAATATGTGCTCATACCTCACGGCATTATTGTTGACAGGTATGTGTCATTTGAATGCAGTAGTATTCTTTTTTGTAAAGCCTGTTGTCCACAGACTGTACATATAACATTTGTCCCAAAACATTATATTAGCAATTACAAAAATACTTTTATTTTGAATAATAAAAAAGCGCTTGAAGGTTAGGAAATGCTGGACTTCTAGTTGCCTTTGTAACTCTCTGTCTAATTTCTCACACCTAATTTCTGATTTGGGCATTGAATGAGACAGAGGTTCCACAAAAAGGCAAGTGTGATCATATAGTGAAATTGGCATTGGAATGTAAATTACAAGAGAGCTGAACTGAAAATTAAGGGGCAGGTACAGAGCTTTGTATATTGTTATACTTAAATGTCCCACTTGTAGTCTAATCATCCTGTGTTTTTAATTTAAAAAGGAGAAAAAAATACATTCAGTTATATCCAGCTTTGGTAACTCCCCAGTACAAATCATCAGTGCTGAATTAACCTAATGGTTCCTGACTATACCATTGACTTATGCCATTCAGTACAACTGAAGAGTGTACTGTGGACTGCTTGGGTCCCCATGCTAGATTTGGAGGGTGACAGTTGGAAAGCTTGATCATCCCTCATTCCTTACCTTTTAGTAGTTCCCCTGTGCCCTCTGTGTAGGCATTTGATGCTGCTTTGATATTTTTGGTAGTTCAGCTCAGTGTTCATGCTCAGTTACTGTTTTGAAGTACTGTTAAAAATCTTATGAAAAAGTTACAAAATGGAAATGGTAATTTTCGTCAGTGTATTTATTGGGAATGTCTGAATGGAATTTCATGGGACATTTTCAACCTGCAGCTTCCTATCTACCAAATTTAAACAGTTGGTTGCAAGTACTGAAATTATTGGAACTCCTTGAAAGAAGATTGTAAACATCCATCATAAGGAAGAGTTATGACTCCTGTATTTATTTCTAAACACAAGGTTTCTTTCATTGCCTTTTCAGTTACCATCGTGTTGAATTTTTCATCTCTCTTGGTTACAGTCAAATGACTTTTAATTCCTCTTTTTTAAATAATTATGTTAGAACTTCAGTTCTCATAGAATTCCATATAAATTTGCTTGAAGTAAACATTGAATTCCTGTGTTGTTTTTGTACTCCAGCAGAATGAACACCACTGTTTTTTCTTACACTGGCTGAAAAGACTGATCTGTTCCAATGGAAAAGAATGCAGAACTGGATTTATTGTGATCATGCAAAATTTTCATGTAGGAAGAAGGCTCAGCACTTAGGAAAATTCTCTTGTCAGTTGGTAGCGATTAAATACAGGCTAAAAAACTGCTATATTTTTATTTAGAAATTGAAACTAGTACATTTTTGGAAGTTTCAGCTCCTCAAACAATCTGAGGAACAAGATTAAAAAAGTGAAAATCACCAGCGAGAAATGTTTCTTCTTAGTGAGAAGCTTTCTCCATTATTCTCAGATTTGATAAGAGATGATAAAAGGCATAGGATAAATTGTAAGTTTGTTTAATGAACTGCATCCCGTCAAGAAATCCACTCTCATTGATAACTCTCTGAATTAGATTAGTAGTTTCAAAGAAATTTCCAGTGAAGGTGTTTACAGAAAATAATGCACTGAGCTGGTTTTCCTCAAAACATCATCTGACATTGTTTGGTTTTCTGTTAATACCTGCTTTACTAGAAATGACCTGGTACCCTGTTTTAGGTCTAGAAATGCCATCTACCATGTTCTTTAGAAACCAAAGCTACTTAAGATAAGCATTCATGTTTATTATTTTTATCTTGAAAATTTATGTACTATTACATGGCAGAAATGGGCATCTTTTAGTTTCAATCATCTGCCACATTGTGTTTACAACACAGAATTATCAGAGAGAAGACAAATATGGAAACCCTGCAATTCCGCGTTCATTGGAACATAACCTTGATTGTTCTCATTTGTGTGAACTTGAACAAATCACTTAAGCTCTTTGCACTCTTCTTTTTTGCTGTCTGAAATAGTGATAATGTACACTTTGTATAAAATTTTTATTGATGCTGTATTTCTTTATAGTATTTGTGTATATTTTTGTTAATATTGTAGGAGTAGCATTTTCCAAAGCCTATCACTTTGCATCCCTCACGTCATATATGCCTACTGTGAACTTGATGCAAACCCAGTTGAGTAAAGACACTTAAACAGACTGCCAGTCAAGCTTGATACTCACCATAGGGTTCCTTTGTAACCACACGGAAAGCACACCATGAACTTAAAGAATCTGCATCTAATGTTATTTTATCCTTATTTTTTTTGCCCCAGGACAGAACGATTGGCCAAAGATATTGTGCAAGACATTGGCGACAATGATATTGTGGTTCTCTGTGTCCTCAAAGGTGGCTACAAGTTCTGTGCTGACCTTGTGGAGCACATTAAAAATCTCAGCAGAAATTCAGAAAGGTTCATCTCCATGAAAGTTGATTTTGTTAGACTGAAAAGTTACCACGTAAGTCAACAACTTATTTATATAGATTCTGGTTTTATGTTCCTAATAAATTGTGGACTTTTGCAAATGGGAAATTTATCTTTTTCCCCTCAAATTAGAAGAAAAACAGTGTGAAAAATATTTTTGTTTGAAAAACCTGTGAGGTTTTTCTTCAAAATATTTGCTCATATCCCTTTATACTTTATGGGTAGTATGAATGAGGATATGAAGCATCCTCAAGCTCTATTTTTTCAGTCTGTCTTCACTTTTGGAAAGAAAATTATTCAAATTTCCGTCATGTAAAACGTCGGCATGTTGTTTGTTCTCAAAATCCTCAGCAGTTCTGTCAAGTTTATTTCGTGTTACTTCATTTTCCACCCCCACTCCCACATAGTTTGGCATAAACGCAAGGTTATAAATCTCTGTCTTATTTTAAATGTTTAATGCTAAGCAAATTAAATGCTTTCATCTTCATAACATGCAGTTTACATAGTAGCAAAATATACCACTAGATGATGATAGTGTTTTATAAGAAAATGAAATAAGCCATTGAACCAAATCCAGCGTTGAAGTAAAGATCAAGACTTCCTGTTATCTTCAGAGGAAATTATGCAATAATGATTCATTTATTTCAGTGAGGCAATGATAGTGAGATGACCGGTCTTTTTTTAGAATGCGTGATTAAAATGTCTATTTGCATAAGCTATACATTCATATTCCACCTTTTAGTGCAGACTGTATAGTGAGGGAGCATTTCTACAAGTTGTCCTAGAAGTGTCTGAGGAAGTACACTAAATAAACAGAGTAATAATACAGTTTCTCTCAGAGATTAAATGCAACTTGCTGAGTCCAGTAGTTCCCACAATAACTCTACGTCCTTTCCACAGACACGGGCTGGTTGGTTGGTTGGCATTTTGCTCCAACACCAGTGACTGTAAACTTTTCCTGACTTTCACAAATGCAGTCTGAATTTTTTCCATCATGGAAGAGAAGTAGAGAGTCGTTTGTAGCCATTTGGTTAGGATTTGGTCCTGGGACTTCTCTTTCAAGAATTAGTCAGGTCTATGAAGGACATGTGCAATAGTGATTTTATACAATTTCTAGCCTAGTAGCACTATTATAGAACTAATTAATAAAGTAAAATATCATGTTTGTCTCATGTAAAGGCACATGAAAGCTATACTCAATTTATTTGGTGTAGTAATGATAGTACTTCAATAATACTGCTTGGTGAATAGTGGAATTACTTAAATTGTTTTTTATTTTTCACCTGGCATAAAGGTAATGCACATGTTTTTCCTATTGGGTTATTTCTTATCCAGTTTGAAGATACCCTGGTTCTAAAATGTCTTTCCTTGGTGACAAGTCAATTCTTATTAGCCATACTAACCCATAACCAATGAGTGACAGGAGATGTATGCCGCAAAAGTATGGAAATCTTCGCATCATTGCTTAGGAAATAAAATAAAAACATGTTATATCAAGCTGAAACTGCAATAGAAATTTTGTTATGCAAGGATGCAGTTATCAAGACTAAGTCCTAGATGATCCTAGCATTTAGTGGCTGTGCATACTTTGGATCTTAGGTTCCTGCTTTAGCAGGAAGAGAGCACCTTCTCTAGAATTAGTGTTTGCATCTAGTTTTTAGAAAATAATTTATTTTTTTTTCTTATAAGTGCTTCCAAATAAGAGTCATGTATTTAGGGCATGAAGCTGTGCTTGATTTAGTGTTTGGAACAGCACTTGATATCTGCCTGGTCTTGAGAAGCTGAATGGCACTGCAGTATAAATGTGAAATGACATTGATATTAATAGATTCATTCCATGAGAGAGGCATAAATGTAATGCTGGCTAAAGTAGCAGTAGGGGTGCCTGCCATCCTTTGCTTTTTGAGTTATTGGTGTGTCCTGTCCAATTGCAGTTCTAGAGAATGTATCTGTGTCAACACAGCCGTGGTCAGAGCACTTGAGGAACTCGCTGTTACTAGCTTGAGCGACTCTTTATCCCAGCCTTATGTGAGACTCCCAAATCCCCCATGTCAGTTTGTTCTGTAATACCATACCTCTCACAGTGTTTTACGCTTTAATCAGGGGCAAATAATTACAGTTTTAGAGGTAAAACTCTACAGGATGTCTTGGAGCATTACCAGTTCCACTCCTTTGCTTCCCTTTGCCTTTTCTGTTCCACTTTCTGTTAAGACTTATTACTGCTCTTTCTTTTTATCCCCTTTTCACTTTATAGACACTGTTCTTTTCACGTTATTTATCCTGCTTCCTTTTACTAACTGTTCTTTGTTTCTCTCCTAAAGGGAGTCCTGCTGCTCTCAATATACTTCCTTCAGATATGTCTCCCTTCCCCCCTTCAGCTGTTTAAATCCAACAACTAATATCAGCTCAAACTCATGGAATTTTTGAATTGTCTCATTCCAACTTCAATACTGAAAGGTTAGTTGATTTTTAGAGGTTGTAATTTAAAGTAAGATTTCATGGTTTAATCGTGTAGCAAAAATGGGCTGTAATTGTGACCCAAAGTCAGATCTTGGCATCAGTGAAAGTACTTCTTAACTGCAAAGTATCAGTGGAATATGTTGTACTTTGATGTCTGGCATAGGGACATGATTACAGGAAAAGGAGATTTATAAATATGACCAGCTTTACATGGCTGTTTGTTTTTCAAACCTGTCATCATATTCCAGAATTTCGACACTTAATTAGTATGTTAAGATTTGCTTTCACATTAAGTAGATGAAAGTTGGGCATGTAAATTCTTTCTTAGGCTTCATACAATTTCATTGAATTTTTTTTAAAAAGCATAGTATGTTAGATTCTCTGGATGTTGATGAGATGAGTGGCGGCTTGTACTTGTAATCAGGATGGTTTTAGCTGGTTTGCAAAGTATTGAGATGTGCTTAAGCCTGGGCATTTTACGATAAACTTTCCTGTGTTTTACAAGTGGTGTCTTGTTTTATTATCTCAATTTGGCATGTCAGATTAACTAAATTTAGTATATACACGGGTAATGTGGGAAAATACCGTTTGATTGTTATTTTTAGAGGAAACAAAGTGGAAGCCAACTTAGGCAACTGTAGCCTAAAAATGATGTGTTTATACTGTTTAAATCCTACAGACATCAGTATTAGTTCTTAGACTTTTAATATAATTCCTGCAACTGAAACTGGAGGTGCAGCCTTATCTGAAAGCATATTTTTATTTCCTCTAACAATTAAACTGTATTTTTCCATTTCTTTGGGTTTTTTTTCACTAGAATGCTAAAATGATACAGTAGAGAAAGTTAAGGATTTACACATGTGGACAGAAACTTGTAGGCTCAGATTAAGATCAATAAAGAAAAAATTAGGTGTGCTTAATTGTAAACAAAGTTTATATTTGTAAATCAAGAAATACACAATTTGAAAAGAAACACTTGATGACTTTGTTATAACTCTGATTTTTAATGCTTCTTAATCAGTAAGAATGATATTAAAATAATTATGAAATGCAAAAGAATCACGAGTGGAAGATATGTGAATAGATTTCCTCCATAGAAATACAATTCTTGGAGAATACCATTTCTTGTAGACTTACAGGTGATATGATATACTTGTACTCATTTTAATTTTGTGTATTTAAATGAGCTCAAAACAAGAAGTTGGGGTTGGGAATGTTGTCTAAGGAGAAAATAAGACTAGCAAGAGACTTAAAAACCATAGATCCAGAATTTCTTTAATATGTTTGTGATATCAATAACTTTAGCAGATTAATTAGGAAGAACCCAGGGGGAAGTACAACAGAGGAAGCAGGAAGGTGTTTTATGAGGGTGTTTACAGATTAATGGATAGGACTGGACAAGAAATTATGTTTAAGGATGAACCTAAAGAAGAGTTTGAACAAAGGAACAGAAGGACATGGATGTCATGAAGAGAAGGGCTGAATAGAGTATGTTTTAATAAAAGCATAGCATGAGAACCATAGCAGAAGAGTAGAGTGTTCACAAACAGTAATTAGAGCTTCTCTTTGTTCAGTGAGCAAGAGACAGTTTAGGACAGGCTGATAAAGGTAAAGGTTGAATTAAAGGTTGAGACAGAAGAGGATGTTCTGGCTCATCAAGTCTAATCCCCTGCTAATAGATGCAACAATATCAACTAATCCTGTTCCATGGGTATGCTAAAGGTCATCTTTAAACCAAAGCTCAGGAATTGGAAAAACTAAGTGGAGGAGTAGAGGAAGTATGCAGAGTCTGTTGACTGTCTTGAGACGTTCTCAGCAACCTGTCAGCAGAAGAGCAAGGAAATGCATATGAATTAAGACTTCTTTAGTGAACAGATGATGCAAACTCAAAATTGAAAGAATCATGCTAAGAGTTGTTGAAACCCATGAAGGGGGCTGGTGGAAGAGAGGAAAAACACATACTTTTACTAGACAGACCAGTGTGCTTTCTACATGCATTGCTACCTGTTCTCTGAAACGTTTAGTATTCTCATAGCATAGCTTTTTTTTTCACTGAAAACCATTAGAGTGTGATTGTTAATTCTCCTTAATACTTTTTTCATTTCTTTGGTTATTCTTGGATAGGCTATAGTTACAGAAGACCAGTAACCTCTGTTATTTAGAAATAACACTGTTATAATAAATTCTGTTATTTTGAATAGCTTTGAGACCTCACCTGGAGTACTGCATCCAGCTCTGGGCCCCCAGCATAAGAAGGACATGGACCTGTTAGGAGGGGTCCAGAGGAGGGCTACAAAGAAGATCAGAGGGCTGGAGCAGCTCTCCTATAAGAACAGGCTGAGAGAGTTAGGGTTGTTCAGCCTGGACAAGAGAAGGCTCTGAGGGAGACCTTATTGCAGTCTTTCAATACTTAAAGGCAGCTTATAAGAAGAGCGGGAACAGAGTTTTTAGCAGGGCCTGTTACGACAGGACAAGGGGTAATGGGTTTAAACTTAAAGAGGGTAGATTTAGACTACATATAAGGAAGAAATTTTTTACCATGAGGGTGGTGAAACATTGGCACAGGTTGCCCAG